GCCCCGCGGTGAGAGAGAGGGCATTCTGGCGTTCTCAACATCTTCGAAACGGTTGACTTGAGGGTTTCGATCGCCTGCAGTGACTTCTTCTGGAATCTAGAGTTCTTGGAAAACTCTGTTAGACAGACAACGAGGTCAGGGAAAGCACCCTGCGTTATGACGACGCCGAAGCGAGTGTTGTAAATCTGGGTAACATGCTCGAAGGCCATGTTCACAATGCCTTCGTAGGGCTCCCGAGCCGCGACTGTGAAAACACCAAACATCGTCTTCCAACCGGAGCGGATATTATCACCACGTGCTTGGATCATCTGAATGAGACAGCGGAGAATCATGTCTTTGACAGTTACCGCGCTGCTGTTCGCCATGACATGTTCGAACGGCTTGAGGAAGTCTTTCTGGAACTTGAAACCCGGCAGTTCCTCAATTTCCATAAAACGCATTGACAATTGGCGAAGCGAATCAAGAGCAAAGAAAACCACTGTCGTGTTTGAATGGCAGCCTACTTGGTTGAAATGCTGTCCAAGGACCTCCCAGATCTTGGACCATTCGATCCTTACTCGGGTCATGTTGTAGTAACTGATCTCTACCAGCTTTTGCAAACTGTAGGTTCTGGGAGAGTCGGTCTGCCCAGACGATTGAATCTCTTGCCAGCTAACCTCACTCAATGCCCGAATAAAATCGATGATGGCCTCATGCGAAAGGTTGGCAGTGTTAGTGAAAATGCGATCAACACCCCTAATCATCTCGACCGAGCGACTTTCCATGGCAACCTCGGTGCGGAAGGCAGAAGGTCCGTTGACCGACCGAGGACGAGGGCGTCTCGCTGCCTGCATAGACTTCCGGGAGCCATCCGAGGACGGTTGAGGCACAATACGAGCTCGGGAGACATCTGGCAGAGAACCTTCATCCACCCCATCAGTAAGGAGCTGAAGTCGGTCAAGCTGACTGACGCATGTCAGGATTTCTCTCCAAGAACCCTTCAGATGGTTTCCCTCAGACAAAGCAACATCAAGCAGTGCCTTGAGTGCCTCAACGTTCTTCGCCACCATTTCCCTGACATTACCCAGGTTCGTGAACTTGGCAAGCGCGGTCACGAACGCAACTCGAGGTGTCTCCAACTCGAAAGCACAGCTGATACGGATGGCCAGCTTCATACCCTCCATGCAAAGCCTGATCAGTTCTAGGTACTGTGTATCTTGCATTGGAGCAGATAGGCCAGACAGAAATGACATCCAGGTGACATTGAACATCGAGCCAACATGGCGAACTGAAGTCGCCGGGATGAAGCGAGAAAGTGCCTCCTTGACTGCTGTCTTGCGCTGCGCCCGGATCAAGCTGCGGTAAAGCTGCTCGGTTTTGTTGGCCATCTCTTCCGAGGCCTGCGCATACTTTTCACCTTGGATATCCCTCCCAACTGTTGCAAAGACCTGTCCAGCTCTGGTGGCCAGACCGGCCGGCGCAGAAGTAGGAATGCCAAGGTTTGCGGCATGCTCCCGTTCAGTATCCAGTACAATCTCATTCTGCGCAATCTCGTCGAAGATGGAGCACAGATACTCGTCTGGCAGATCCTGATTGTCATTGATGCCCCGGTTGTTTTTGATGAAATCCTCCTTGTTCATACGGCGACCCTTAATCTTGGCACTGTGCTGATCGGTGTTCAGCATGATGACACTGTAGGCAAGAACGTAGGCAGTATCCGCATTGGCGAAAGCATTTGGGTTTTGAGTTACGTAACGCTCAGCGAACTTCAGCATGAAGCGATCGATCTTCTGCGCCTCTCCCGGTAGACGGAAATTCTGCAGAAATTGGCGAAGAGCGTCAACGAATCGTCGCTTGGAGAAGTCCATCATGTCAACAAAGGCATGCATGATAGCAATGTTCTCCGCGTCTCCTTCACCGAGATACTCTCCTAACATGGCCTTGTCCAAGCGGTCATTCCGGTACAAGAAGGCAGCAATATCTTCGGGTGAGTTGGACCGCACGAAACCCTCCTGGATAAAAAGTTTGATTCCGCGCTTGGCCTTGAAATTGAATTGCTGGACTGCATTGGTGAATGCGGTCTTTCTTTGTTTGACCTTTTCAATTTGGCTTGGATCGTCCTCTGCCACCGGAGTTGTGATACCCTCCATAGTCTCAATGCGTGGGGAAGAGAGAAACGATGCGGTGTTCATATCAATCGAATCTCTGGGATTGTCGATCGATTTCTGAGAGGAGGAGTGAGGTATTGATGCGGACGGGTCGACTAGACGTTGTGAGGCCCAGTTGTCCAATGACTGCAGAATTTCCACCAAGCATACGACCGCCTGGTTCTTCTGCGTATACTCGGGTGGCACATTCTGCAAGCTTGGTTGTGGGACGTTGGCTACGTTGGCAGTGGTTAACGAAGGGGGAAAGCTTCCACGTTGATGCCAGTCACTCCCCACGGATGAGACTTTGACATGGTGTTCCTGATATTGCTGCTGTTGAGCATGGGTGACCGTAACAGGAATGCTTGCATAACGCGACAGCTGCTCGATGATACTGTTTTAATCACATGTCAGACGTGTTTATGCATCGAATAGTGGAGCAGCGAGCACATACTTTTGGAAAATATTCTCCAATGCTGTTCTGTCGCAATCATAATTAAGGTAGATCTCAACCAGAGCGCGTGGGTCACCGGCCAATCGCTCGAGAACCTCCATGAAGTATTGCTTTTGGAAAGCGGGGGAATTGCGCTTTTCCAAAATGGTCAAATAAATCTCCTTCAAGAAAACCTCAAGTTCTTTCTACTTCGAGTTAGCTTATTTTAGTTGAACAGTGCTAAGAAGCCCACCGACCTTCATCATCACCCTCATGTGTTTCAGCATGAGCCAGAAAATCTCACAGCACACCTCGTAAACTCTGGGCACCGAGCTTGAACCATTCCGGCTAAGACTCAGGCAGAGATGAGGTTTGACGGCTTGCAGAAATGTCATTGCATCGGAAGTACCCGAGCTAGTTGAGCTGTTCTTGATTGTTAAGAGCGGAGACGTGAATGCATTGGCTTGGTTATTGAGGAGGTAGTGGATGAGATGCAAGGATAGCAGCTTCGATCTCATGTTCTGGGATTTGAGGTCCTGCTGTTGATCGTGGTTCAGATTCTTGTGGCTCAGCTTGCAAAGAGCCCTGAACACGAGGAAAGCATCCTTGACGTAGATTTCATCTTCATCATCATCTGCGGTGTTGTCGCTCTCTTCCGTAAAGGTCCCCGAAGAAGAACGGGCCGGCCTCTGATTCCTGGCGCGGGTGACCATGGTTGGCGCATTATCGTTGACCGTGGTCACCTCCTTGTTCGATTCAAAGCTTTGCAGAGTGAGCTTCTCCCCTGGCTCTTTCGAGACAGGGTGGTCTGAGCCCGCCTCATGAACCTCGTCAGAAACATGTTCATCATCTTGGGGAGCGTCGGCGGCCTCCAGCGTGACATTGTCCGAAGAGCTACCATGCCCCTTTTCACCCTCACGTAACCGCAGCTCCTTTAAGTCAAGTCTTACGTTGACCCTATCAAAAACAGTGCTGACCATCTGCGTCAATGAGCCCTGGGCTATCTGCTGTTCCTGAGACGACTTGGAGTAGATGAAAATGTTGTAAATTTGGCGGACAGCTTTCAGGAGACCCGCTCCATGCACCACAATCTTGTCATTGAGGACCGCCGCCAAAAGGGACTTGATAATCTGCTGTTGGATTTCCACTGGTGTAGCTTCATTCTCAAAACATTCGCATATCGCATCAATGGCTCGCTCGATCAGGGGGGGCTGCTCCGGAGTGGCTTCGTTCTCGGAGGTCTTGCTCTCATGGGCCGAAGGAAATGCAAAGTAGGAGTAGGTGATCAACTTTCCGATACAGTCAAGCGCAGTGACCTGCAGAGGGATGCTGAAGGATTTGGTGGCGAGCTGGAGCGGACGGAATATGACCTCAGGGTCAATCGGCTGGCCGTCGGATTGTTTGACATTGCTGAGCGCGCTTTTGACGGCATCATCCAAGTTTTTGCTCCTGCGCGCCTCCTTGGAAGCACCGATTGCTTCCAAGGCGCTGACTATGAAGACGGTAGAGCTGAGAGTCACAGAGCGGTGCGTCGCAACTGTGGCAGTGGTGGACCTCGAGTCCGAGCGCATTCTTGTATCCGGGCCAGGCTCATTGCGGGGAGGTATAGAAGTCACATCGTGTCTTTCAGCGGGAGCTTCCTTCTCGACATCGGTACTGGAATCTTCAGGCTGACTCTCGAGAGTTTCAGCCTTCAGATTTGATTCGGAGTCATGTTGGACCTCGGGATCCTGGGGTACGACGGCTTCTGTCGGAGTTGCGATCTGGTCGGCTGACTCCGTGTTCGCAGTGGACTCTGGCTCGGTAGATGACTGGACATTTTCTTCCAGTTGATCTGTACCGATCTGTTGACGTTCCGATTCAGCGGGCAAGGTTGGTTTGTCGTGAGGGACGGAGTCGTCCGACTGTGTCAATACAGCAGCAGCCGCATCCTTGTTGTCTGCCTGCGGCACAACCGGGGATGTTTGGGCGGGCTCATTGACAGAGCCGTTTTCGACTTCCGCCATTTATGCAAGACTCCGGTCGGAGTGGATGAAGGTTGATAGAAAAGGGGTCCACATGGGACTAAAGGAGGGACTGGAACAAGAATCTGCAGGTGGAAAATAAACGCCAACCCAACCTTTCGTATACTGACAACAAGCAGTCCGGTGGAATTGCAGCGTGTTCACTCCCGCGGACGACGGAGATACCGTACGGGCGACGTAGTGAGCCACAACCGCGGTGACTGCTTAGCTAAGCTGTCTCGGGGCGGCCGGCGATAATCACTCCGGACGGTCTCACCGGTAGCCTCAACAGAAAAGTTCCTGGAGCTGCAGTCCTCAACTCTTCGATACGGGCCCTTTCATCTGCCAGACCAGTCTCTAGGCTCTCTTCCATCCTCCTTCTCTCATTCCTTCCCGTCGCGGGCTCATTTCTCGACCTTTTCATAGCACTTTGGCGCCATGGTTGCCTCTGCTGTCCGGATGCGCACCCCCAGCGCCATGTTTCTCTCCAAAGGCGCCCTTTCCCTGAGGCGGCCGCAGACCGTTCACAGATTCAAGGATCTTGCTCAGTATGTTACCTCGACCCGAATGAGCTTAAAAACAGCCACTAATCACTCATTTTCTTTCTACAGATCTCAATTGCCCTCCCTATCCGCCCTCTCCCGTTACTATGCCTCCAAGTGTATGCCGCTTACCATCTTTTGTTGACTCTTGTCACTCCGTTATGTGGCTTCATCGAAAACTGACAAGTCGGGATCAACAGCCTTCCCCCCTCACACCATCATCAGCATGCCCGCTCTGTCGCCGACCATGAACGCCGGTAACATTGGTGTCTGGCAGAAGAAGGCTGGTGATGCTCTCCAGCCTGGTGATGTTTTGGTGGAGATTGAGACCGACAAGGCCCAGATGGACTTTGAGTTCCAAGAAGAGGGTGTCTTGGCCAAGGTTCTGTCGGAGACTGGCGAGAAGGACGTTGCTGTTGGCACTGTTCGTGATTCCCTCCTCCCCTACTTTGCAACCGGCAAAATCCGGTTCGTGTCGAGGCCGTTGCTAACCGCGCATTAGCCCATCGCTGTTCTGGTCGAGGAGGGTACCGACGTCTCGGCTTTCGAGAGCTTCTCCCTGGAGGATGCTGGTAGCGAGAAGCCCGCTGCTGGTGCTGCGGAGAGCAAGTCCGAGTCTAAGGAAGAGGCTGCCCCCGCTTCTTCCACCCCTGAGCCTCAGCCCGCTGCCATCGAGCCTGAGACCTCGGGCGAGAAGCTCCAGCCCGCTCTGGACCGTGAGGCTAACATCAGCCCCGCTGCTAAGGCCCTTGCTCTTGAGAAGGGTGTGCCCCTCAAGGCTCTGAAGGGCACTGGCCGTGGTGGCCAGATCACCAAGGAGGATGTTGAGAAGTACCAGCCTTCCGTTGCCGCCATCGCCGGTGCCACCTATGAGGATATCCCCCTTACCTCCATGCGCAAGACCATTGCTTCTCGCCTTCAGCAGTCGATGCGCGAGAACCCCCACTACTTCGTCTCCACCACTCTGTCCGTGACTAAGCTTCTCAAGCTTCGTCAGGCTCTCAACGCCTCCGCTGATGGCAAGTACAAGCTTTCCGTCAACGACTTCCTCGTCAAGGCCTGCGCTGCTGCCCTCCTGAAGGTCCCCGCTGTCAACTCCAGCTGGCGTGAGGAGAACGGCCAGGTTGTCATCCGCCAGCACAACACCGCCGACATCAGCGTTGCCGTCGCCACCCCCAACGGCCTCATCACCCCCGTTGTCAAGAACGTTCAGGGTCTTGGCCTCTCCAGCATCTCCAACCAGATCAAGGATCTCGGCAAGCGTGCTCGTGACAACAAGCTCAAGCCCGAGGAGTACCAGGGTGGTACTTTCACCATCAGCAACATGGGCATGAACGCTGCCATCGAGAGATTCACCGCCGTCATCAACCCCCCTCAGGCCGGTATCCTGGCTGTTGGCACCACCCGCAAGGTTGCCGTCCCCGTCGAGACCGCTGAGGGTACCGCTGTTGAGTGGGATGACCAGATTGTCGTCACTGGTAGCTTCGACCACAAGGTTGTCGATGGTGCCGTTGGTGCTGAGTGGATTAAGGAGTTGAAGAAGGTTGTTGAGAACCCCCTTGAGCTTCTTTTGTAAGCTCTTTCCGCGAAGGGAAATTCCGACCGGCCCAGTTTTTTAGTTAGCTACGATCGGAGTTACCTTTTCCTTTGATGTTGTTGTAATATGTATTAAAACCATCTGAATCTTTCACATCCCCTAGACCAAGATGGTCCCCCTAGCACAGTTCATAACCCTTACAATGCATTTCCTATGTTTAGTTCTTAGTGTGTATCAAAACAGTAGACTTCGGAGGTTGTTTTGTCTTTTAGGCATGCGGATATGTAAGGAATCAAAAGAAAGGCCGATTGCTGGAGCCGATCTGTCCCCCTAGTTTAGCTGTACCAATTTGTGCGAGCAAAGTAAAACGAAGCGGCAGGTAGCCTCGGAAACACCAAGCACACAGAAGCGCGAAAGCAAGCCATGGGCGAGATCACCGACCGGGGCTTGGCAGCGGGCGCTGTCGCATGAGGCCCGTCTATGACGTGATGTCATTCCCACCCCCCTCCCAGCCATGGCTGCAACCAACCCATAAATACCTTCCGACGGCCCATTCCCTCCCCTGAAACTTTACTCGAGATTTCTCTCTCTGCAATAGTTGACTCATTTTTGAATTGATTCGCGTCTACAACCTGTACGTCTCCACTGCTGCCGCGGTACTTTGACCTACCATGGCAGCACTTCCACCTTTCTTCTTCGACAGGCGATACTAACGCATGACGTCGCAGATCCCTACCACTTTATCACGCAACCACTCTCGTGACAGACACACAACCAGTCATCATGTCGTACGCAGAAGCCGCAGCTAAGGGTCCTAAGCAGTCCCCTGAGGAGGTATGTGCTATTCTTTGTCTGTTCCATTGTCGCTGTTCACCACTCGACCAGCGCAATTATGTTGATCACCAATGTACTGACTATGTTTCCAGGCGTAAGTGCATCCACTACGAGCAATATAAACACCCTTTTCAACAGAAAAGCTAACCAGAGCTTCACAGTCGCGCTCCCGATATCAATCGGGTGTACCGGGATGAATCCGAGAGCACCGCCTCCCTGATCGACGTCGACTCCCCCCATGTGCAATCCGTGGACGCCGATTTCCTCAACCAGGAGGTCAAGACCACGACGCAGGCCGAGCGGATAGAGCGCGAAGAGCAGGAGGCCATCGCCGAGCGCGAACGGATCGAGAAGGCGAAGGCGAAGGCCAAGGCTGAGGCCAAGGCCAAGGCCAACCGCGTGCGCCGCAACAAGAGCAACCCGGTCTACCTCGGAAACGCGGTCATCCTGGCCCTAACCGGCGCTGGTCTTGGCTTTGGTGCATACAAGAAACACGCGCAGGGTAAACTGTCGTGGCAGCTCGTCGGATTGTGGTCCGGGATCGTCGGCGCTGTCGGTGCCGTCGACTACTTTGTCAGCAAGTAAGTCAATCTTTCGCTCTCCGTCGCGTTTTGTTGGGCGATCTAGATAAGAGGATGTCATAGCTAACGTGATGATCAGGTGGCTGTTGCAGAACAAGTACCCTCCCAAATAGAGTGGGAGACGAAAACTCAAGTACTTGTCTTGCGTGGTTTCATAACTTGATATCCTGATGTTTCTTTTCGTTTCTCCTGTGTGTTTTGCTTATAGTTCGATATACCGCACGGATTCGCGGATACATGGCGCTTTTCATGATGTCCAGGCGTTTGTGCTCGGTCGAGATTTAGCTAATTCCATCTCAATCTCATCCATCATAATGCTCTTCTCCGCTTGGCTCTCGGTAATAGCATGCTCACTGCGATATTTGAGGTAAATTTTAAATCATGTCAGAAAAGTGAACAGAATTACATGGCTCGCTTGACAGTATCCACTGATTGATAGCCACGTAAACCCAGTCGCAATCTGCTGGAAAATTAGAGTTCGCGAATGGACGATCGACGTCGGTTGGATATGCATGGACTTGCATTGGCGGGAGGCGGTCAGCCGTGTCAGAATCGTGGCCTCTGCAAGAACATGTGGCCTTGTCTAGCATCATTATCATTAGTATCATTGAAACGCCTATTTCTCCAGGACACGTCGCTGCTCTAGCACCGCTCATTCAATTCAGCGTATCGTGCTATACTGCCACCATCACTGCGAAAGGTCCTTTCCATATCTCTTGTACAGGGGTCAAGGCTTTGTTATTGCGCCGTACATCGTTGTACTAGCCTCTGTATACGACATCGGACACACCGCAAGAAAAGATGGTATGATTCCCACCACTCCGGGCCAAGACGAACGCTGTCCTCCCGTATCACCTCGGGGAGAAAGGGAAAGGTCTATGCTGATAGTTTCGAGCAGAACTCTCTTTTCAATTCCGCCTTGAAGCAGTCTTCTGCTATCCGCCGCGATCTGGACACATTCTCCCAGTCGCCGGCTACATCATCCGCCGCGCTACAAGGTGTGTCACTTCTGCTGACTGGGGTTAATCCTAGATGTAGAACTACCGGGCTAACGTGTTGAACCGACAGGTCAAATTGCGGCCTCGCTGGCATCACTATCGCGCACCATCGATGACTACTCTGCACTGTCGAAGAAAGAGTTGATTCCGGAGAAGCAAGAGAAAGCCTTCGAGCGAGTGAAGAACTTCCGCACCGAGCTTGCCGACTATCGGCTACACTTTGAGCGACTGCGCAAACAACGAGAAGATGCAGTAAGCACATCCCTCGACCATATTCTAGATACACACGGGCAGTGCTGCCGACCATTGCTAACCATCTCTTTCGCATCGCAGCAATCAGTAACGAACCGCAACGAGCTCCTCGGCCGACGCCCACACAATACCGCCACCCCCGAAAACCCCTACGCGCAATCCTCCCTTCCCAACCCATCCCCGTTCGGCAATCCGTCCTCGGCCCGATCGGGCCTGGGATTCGGCGGCGGCGCGGCCGACTACACCCGCGAGACCCATGCGCTGCGCGAGCAGAGCTTCCTCGCCAACACCGGCACCCAGCTGGATGAATTCCTCGATCGGGGTCGCGCTGTGCTGGCGGATCTGGGCCAACAGCGCGAGGTGCTCAAGGGCACCCAGCGTCGACTGTACAGTGTTGCGAACACGTTGGGGGTCAGTGGGGAGACGATTCGCAAGGTGGAGCGGCGGGCGAAGCAGGACAAGTGGATTTTCTGGGTCGGGGTGCTCATCTTCTTCCTCTTCTGCTGGGCGGTACTACATTTTCTGCGGTAGGAGAAGGGAAAATCTCTGGAAGGGGATTGAGATGTACAGCTGCTGCCATTTGGGGCACGGTTCTTTTTGCTTTTGTAATACTTGAAGGTTTCATTTGGCAAGCGCCGGCGTTGGGCATTGCATTGGTTGAGATATCAGTAGCTCCTGTTTTTTTTTTTTATTTTTTATTTTTTTTTGTTTCTTATTTTGTTTTTCTTTTGTTTTTTTTCCCCCTCTGCTTTTGGCAAACGAAGGCATGTACTTTGGTACTTTTGTATACCAGAGATGATCGCGAGATTATCAGATGGCAATTCTTGGAGTCCGGAGTTGAATTACTAGCGCGACAAGTGGAGAAGCCGGATGGAATCGCGTCGACGAGAGAGACCAACATCCATCATCCAAGCAGTCTTGCAACACGCCGGCTAAGCCGGAGTAGGCAATTCCACGCACGGGGCAAGGCAACAAAGCTGCAATTGGGTTCATTCTTGGCTTTCGGAACAAATGGACAGAGCACAGATAGAGGTAGGGGAAGAATACGGAGTACGTGTGTGTACTTAGAGTATCAATGAATGATGGATGGATGCATACTGGGGAATTCTCCTCCTCGTTGTGGTTGTAGTAGTGGTGGCTGGCGTGAGATCGGATCCGGCAGGCTTCCTTTTAGCCGCTCCAACCTTCAACCCACCCGGATTTCCCCCCCCAAACCCTTTCCCGTTCCGTCTCCTCTCACCGACGCCCGCCCTCCCGTCCGTCTCTTCCTCTTCTTCCTTCTTCTTCTCCGTCTCTCTCCTCCTTCTTTCCTTCCCCATCTTCTCAACTCTCTTGTATAACCAGATAGATTATTCTTCTGTCTTCTCCCCCCCCTCACAGTCAAGATGTTCGCTGCTCGTCAGTCCTTCAACCTTTTCCAGAAGCGTAGCTTCTCCGCTTCTTCCAGCCAGGTAAGCTCTAAAATATCATAGAGAAAAAAAACAAAAAAAAAAAAACAAACCTTGCTGGCTTGCAGCCTCGGCTCGATCATGACCACCGGAACTAATCATCTCAATTGCGAGCTGTAGCTTTCCAAGGTTGCCGTCCTCGGTGCCGCTGGTGGTATTGGCCAGCCTCTCTCCCTCCTCCTCAAGCTCAACCCCCGTGTCACTGAGCTTGCTCTCTACGATATCCGCGGTGGACCTGGTACGTCGCACAGCTCCCCGGCCAACACGCCATCAATTCCATCGCAACCATCGAACAGGAATCAGGCTGACCATTGTCCGTTGCAGGTGTCGCCGCTGATCTGAGCCACATCAACACCAACAGCACCGTCACTGGCTACGAGCCCACTGCCTCCGGCCTCCGTGATGCCCTCAAGGGCTCCGAGGTCGTCCTCATCCCTGCCGGTGTTCCCCGCAAGCCCGGCATGACCCGCGACGGTATGCGCTAAAGCCTCGAGCTCAACAAATCCAGTGCACAAAACTGATTGCATCATCGCAGACCTCTTCAACACCAACGCCTCCATCGTCCGCGACCTTGCCAAGGCTGCTGCCGAGGCTTCCCCCGAGGCTAACATCCTCGTTATCTCCAACCCCGTATGCATTGACCTTCCTTGATTTGCCAGCCCTGTAGATCGACCACAGGACTCGGGCTAATCGTCATCTCATCTACCAGGTCAACTCCACCGTCCCCATCGTTGCCGAGGTCTTCAAGTCCAAGGGTGTCTACAACCCCAAGCGTCTCTTCGGTGTCACCACCCTTGATGTTGTCCGTGCCTCCCGCTTCATCTCCCAGGTCAAGAAGACCGACCCCGCTGGCGAGGCCGTCCCCGTTGTCGGTGGTCACTCCGGTGTGACCATCGTCCCCCTCCTCTCCCAGTCCAACCACCCCGAGATCGAGGGTACCACCCGCGATGAGCTCGTCAACCGCATCCAGTTCGGTGGTGACGAGGTCGTCAAGGCCAAGGACGGTGCCGGTTCCGCCACCCTCTCCATGGCCATGGCCGGTGCTCGCTTCGCCGAGTCCCTCCTCCGTGCCTCCCAGGGCGAGAAGGGCATCGTTGAGCCCACTTTCGTCGACTCCCCTCTCTACAAGGACCAGGGTGTTGACTACTTCGCCTCCCTCGTCGAGCTCGGCCCCAACGGTGTTGAGAAGATCAACCCCGTCGGCCCCGTCAACGAGTACGAGCAGAAGCTCGTCGAGACCGCCCTCGGTGACCTCAAGAAGAACATCCAGAAGGGTAAGTCCTTTGTCCGGTCAACCTAGTCGTTTCACCCAGGTGCTAACTGAGTATTTTCTAGGCCGTGACTTCGTTAAGGCTAACCCTTAAATGATCTAATTTTCTCATCTGGAATGATATGAACCAAAAACCTCTTTTCTGCAGCCACGTTCCTCCTTGTATAACAGTCTAGTCATTCTTCTTTCTCCCCTGTCACGCTAAATATCCTGACCCGCCCTTGGCTTTTATTCTGGAGGAATGTTGCTGCAGCATCATGGAAGCATCGGAATCGGGTTTTCCTTTGTGTGTCCCGAGGCCTCGAGGGGGAACTGTGATGGGGGAAAATGGACTCTGACGTGTATTTCCCCGTTTCTCAATACAGACCAAAATCTATGTTAATGATACTACCCCTTATGACATTGCTGGTGATTTGGTCTGCTGTAAGACTGTGCACGTATGCTGTAGTGTAGACTCAAAGCCTTCTATACCAGCAAGAACTGTTGCCGAGTAGATTGCCACTGTCTGGTCCTAGCATTACCTCCCAATCTAAGATCCAGTTCAACGGGAGACGGAACATTGCATCCAGTCAAATCCAGGCAATAAATTAAGGCTTAGGACAGATCAAATGCATACATGCATGGACTCTCATAGGCAGAAAAGAGAAAATCAGAAGCAAAATCATCATTTTCATCATGGCTCATCAAAGAAAAAAAAAAAAAAGAAAAGAACTTCAACCCGACTCCGTCCCAAGAAAAACCAGGTGATGCGCGTGTGTTTCAGTCATGACTTCGTCGGAAGATGAATGATCTTCAAGCCCCCATCCATCCATCTTGAGATGCTTCCTCCCCATGCCACGAAAGCAAGACAAAAACAAACCTTGCACAACGTGCTCGAGGGGAGATATTTCTTTCCAAACGCCAATTTGCTCTTCTTCTTTATCATAGTCATCATTGCATTCGGCAGAAACAGGAGTGGAGATGTTGACACGGGTTGTTGAAGATATGGGTGCATGTTGAAACGGCCGTCAGAGCGGAATGAAGAGAGTGTGGATGAAGGTGTATCGTGTCTGTGTGCATATGTTCTTGTAGTCCGCTGTAACCCGGTTAGGTATACGTGCAGGCCTCAGGTATAGCTTCGCATGGCGTCGAGGTATCCCGTTCCTCCGCGGAGGTCCTGGTCGAATGTTTCGGCTACGGTCAGGACCCGCTTGATGTGCTCCATGGAGAGAGGCGTCTGCTCGTTGACTGCGAGGGCTTGCGCTGTGCGGACGGAGTTTTTTATCTGAAGGAAGAGGGAAAGTTAGTAGTCATATTATGGAGACTAACTCTAGCAGAGTTCTGGACTTACCTGACGTCCGTTCAGGTTGTGGCGGGCAAGGAGATCAAAGTCTTTATCGGTGAACGTGGCAGTCTGCACACCTTCCATGGCCTGGACTTTCTCCAGGAACATCTTCCAGACACTGCGTTTGGCCTTGGTGGTGAGGTCACCGTAGCGGAGCGCCACGTGGATGCGCGATTGGAACGCGTCGTCGAAGGTTTCCACGCGGTTGGTCGTCAGGAATAGGATTCCTTGGAAATACTCCAGGAGACGGAGGAAGATGCTGACCAGGGCATTGCGGTGGATGTCCTGGATGGTCCGCTTCTCCAGGAAGATATCGGCCTCATCGAGCAGGAGGACCGCGCCCCAAGAATGGGCAATATCCAAAATCTTGTTGAGCTCGGCTTCCAGCGTGCGCGAGTCGGTTCCCAACTCTCCTGCACTGACCATGTAGAGGGGACGCTTGAGCAGTTCGGCGATACCTTCTGCTGTGAGCGTCTTACCTGTCCCTGGAGGGCCGTGAAGTACTGCGACTAGCCCCTTGCCCTTGCCCTGGATCACATCATCGATGTTTTGGGCAGCTCGGAAGGTGTGAGACTCAACCAGCGCCTTCACAATGGACTTCTGGTTGTCGGGCAGCACCAGAGAGCTGAAAGCCTCCTCGTTCCATTCAATCTCGCTAATTCCGGAGATGCTAAACTCCAGCCACAGCTTCTCGCTAAAGGCAAATCCCAGGACTACTGGGCTCGCGATCAGCAGCTCCTCCTCGGTAAAATCCCGCTCGGAGGGGTCATCCACTTGGTCCATGTCCTCTTTCTGCACCTCGTTACCATTCTCGTCCAGTTCCACTTCAACCACGTGCGGCTTTCCCTCCTTGTCTCGAACCACCTTGTAGCGTGTTCTGGGCGTGTCAGAGTCCCGCGATGGTCCACAACCCTGATCCGAATCCGAATCCGACACACCACAGCAGCAACCATCGTCACTCCCGTCTCCGTCCGACCCATCAAGGTAATCCGGATCCTTGGGGCGAACGGTACTGATAGGATAGTTGGGGTTGATACGACGATGAATAGCCGGGTCGATCATGACCCTACCGTTGATGTTGACTTTAATAACCGAGCGCTTCTTCTTGTAGAAGCCCATGCCCTTGTGGAAGCGGTAGTTCATGCCACGCAATGCCACGAACTTTTTGCCCCGCTCGATCAGCTTGAGCTTAATTGCCTCCGCCTCGCGATGATATTTCAGGGGATAACAGCCAAGACTGGTGATTTTCCGAGAGCCCTTGAAGGATTCGACCTCCGCAGCCATCGTGCCCATCCCGAACGACTTCCCGTCATATTCCAGGTAACGCCCTTCGATGCTGTACCACTGACCTTTCATGAAGGACGATTCTTTAGTGGCGTACTCGATCTTGAAGGCACGAGGCTCATCCACATTGCCGTACGTCGATGAATAGGCGATCGTGTTAGGCTTGAAGATGGCCCACAACAGGTCGAAGGTGATCATGTTGGCGTCGAGCAGTGGGTACAGGGTCTTTTTGGTATCCGCATAGTCGGTATCCAGGTACTTGATGAGCACCTTGAGATGAGCGGCCTTGAGTTGGGCTGCTTTGCGAGCCTTCTTCTTTCTTTCCGTCTTGGCCAGCTGTCGCAATTCGCGCATGTACTGCCGTGTCTCCTCCAAGTACAAAAAGAGCATGTTGGGATCGACGACCGCCGTTTCCTGGACCAGACTGACGCCCTTGACTCCGTCCATCACCTTGGCTAGCGCATCGCGGATGTGCTTGCTCTTGAGGTCCACCACCGTCTCCGTATACTTGTTGTCCCAGTCGAACTTGCGACGTACTGTAAAGAGGTATTGGTCCCACTCGTTGGCTCCAGGATCATCGACCGTCTCGGTCAATTTGTAGTTATGGATTGTATTGTCCCATACTAGATGCGGGAACCGTCAGTAAACGTAGCGATTGATTCGATGCTAGAAAGCACATGTTCTGGATGGGGAAGAGTCGCAGCAGCACGTACATTGATCCACCCGCTTGAAAGCTATCTTCGACGCTGCCTTCTTCCGGCTTTTGGACTTCTGTGACGACCCCTTTGAACCATCCGCGTCGGTGGAGCTCCGCTTTCTGCGTCCTTTACTGCGGCGACCGTCAGTCAACTTCAGTCGCAAGGCCGCCAACTTCTGCTTTGCCAGGAGCAAAGCCAGTTCATCGGAGCCATCGTCCTCGTTGTCATCCTGCTGGTCCTCGGAGGAGTCCTCCTTGGAGCGAGACTTCCTGGAGGAACGTTTGTTCTTGAGCTTGGCGACCAGCTTCTTCAAGGTCTTCTCATCGAGATCGGAATCTGAATCCTCGCCATCCTGGGACGAGGAATCCGAGTCCGAGTCCGACTGTTGGCGCGAGCGGGTGGATTTCTTCCTGCGACCGCTGCTCTTCAAGGCCTTCTTGGCTCGGGCCTTGCCGCGCTTGCGACGATGCTTGCGATCCACCTCGGATTCGTCGGAGCTGGAGGAGCTCGAGGAGGAAGTGGAGGCATCTTTATCTGCGGCAGAGTCGTGGGTGGTGGATTCTGAGTCGCTGCTGTCGGAGTCGGGAGCGGAAGAGCTGTCATCGCTGGGGGTGACAATGGAGGAGGTCTTGGTGGAGCGATGGGGCTTCTTCTTCTTCGACTCGGAGGCAGCGGTGGGGGGATGTTTGGCACAGACCGTCGGCTTTTTGGCGGCGGGTTCGGGGGCGGGGACAGGCGGCTTGGCCTCTGCTTTACCCGCATTGGTCTCCGCAGGCGGGTCACATTCCAGCTTGTTATTCGTACTCGTCGTGGTAGGAGGAGTCGTGGTGGTACTACTGGGAGAAGTGGTATTGGGAGGGTCAGGAGGAGGAGGAAGATGATGGTGATGTTGAGTAGTGCTGGTTGGTGCACTTCCTGAATTATCAGCCATGATGAGGATGGCGATTAGTGGACTGTTATATTCGGATCTCTACTATTCGGGTGGGTCGGTAGAAGCAAATAGCTGCAACGAGGATAAGTGAGTGAGAGAAAGAAGGAGAAGAAGAGGAAGAGGAAACGAAGGTGGAAGACAGAAGAAGAGAAGGGAGCAAGGGAGAGAGCGAGCGAGAGAGAAAGAGGAAAGAAGGTAGGAAAAGAAAAACCAAAAAAAGAGCACGAAGCTGACCAGCGAACAAACAAAAGGGCCTGTGGGATGGGCGGTTGATGCCTAAGAACGCGCCTTGCGTGCGAAGTTGCGTTGCGGAGGGTTGGTTGGCACAATTCCCCGTTCTGGCGGTGTGAAGGTGAGGCGAAGATGCAAGTTAAGTTAAGGAAGGACCTGAAAAAGAAAAGAAAGGGAGTTCTATCACCATGAACAAAGATGAAGACGCGGAGAGAAATAGGAAGAAGAAAAAGCAAAAGACACAAGATGATCAGCAGGCGCAGTTGAGAACCAGGATCATGGGGAATGGGGAAGAGAGGTACTATAAGTGAGTGAGTGCCCTTCAGTCACGGAGGACAGACTGACAGGCAGGCAGTGAGCTGGGAACTCAACAGCTGCACCATTTCCAGCCGCAGCCTAGTTAGGAACTGACTGAGTGAGAACTGCCAAAATGACGGCTGGCTTGACTCAGAGGGCGTGAATCACACTGAGGCTGCTCCTGCACTGCACCGCGCCAGCCTGCAGTCCGTGCAGCGCTTGGAGCTGCAGCCAGGACGAGGCCCCGATGATCTCCAGGAATGAGCTAAGTCATGGATGGGAGCGGAGCTGAGCGGAGCTGAGCTGGGCTGGGCTGGGCTGAAGCTGTCTGTGCTCGCTGCCTAGTTATAGTGGAGGAATTGTGACGAAAGCTAGTCAGCAGAACGTTGCTGCATAAGGTGAGCGGGGAGCCCTAATTGAGTGCAGGACTTCGACGTAGTAACTCGCGGCATCTCGACCACAGCTTTATCTCGTGCTAATCTAGGAAGCTGCGTACTTCCAGCACGAGTCAGGCACATCCTATGATATAGCATGATATAGTATCGACTCCTGTAGCTTCTCCGAGAGCTATTCAGCGTTGACGTTGCCAGTGGCATCAGCAGCTACAGCGCAGATAGACTATCCACAACACGTATAGGCACATGGGTTGGAAGAAGGTTGGAACCTCCAGTTTATATGTTCCTCGACCCTCTCGAGTTCAGCATCTCCTACCCAGTACATAGTACTTCGATCCGTTGTACTACGACTATGTGGCTATCATCGACACAAAAACCATCAAACCGCAGCGGCGAGTTTTGGTCTGATTCTATCGAGTTGATGTATGAATCTTGGGCTTGAACCTACGCTCTAATACACAAGTAAGAGAGACATTCTATCTTTACTATAACAAGCGATGCTCATGAGTCAACTACCTCAGAGCCAGCACTAAGTTCCATAATCCTACAGCCCCAACCCAAACCTCAGCATACAAGCAATATGAACACTCTATCTTCACTCTAGCAACAGACCCTCTCAAGTCAAGTCCCTTACCCAGCACACGTAACCCTCAAATCCATCCCTCAAAACCCACGTAACCGACCATGCCACACAAATCAGATATCTCCTCCAGCGACGAGTGTTGGTTGATACCGAAATAGAGAGAACCAAGTGAGGAAAGAGATGATATCGTGATGAGCCAAGTGAATGAGAGAGAAACCCACAACCACCCGCCCAGCCTAATTTCCACCAACCCACCTCGAGTGAATTCCCAGTCAAACGTGATAGAAAGCCCTTTTCTTCTGGCCCTCGGGAGTTTAAACTCTTGATCCATCCCACACATTCCCACACATCCCATTCCCACCACAAAACCCTCACCTCCCACACATCTTCCATCCCATCTCCAAAGAACACCACCTCAGCGAGTCCACAAACCCACCAAGCACCATGATGAAGACCGAGTCACCTCCCCGGAACCAGGAGGGTTCGTCCCCCTCGTCCGGGTTCACGCCCATCAACCGGCGGAGCGTGGAGAAAGAGAAGGCAAGTGTTGGCGTAAGTTTGTTCTCTGCAGCTTCTCATCACATCACCACCATGGCCATGACAATGATGTGATCACGACCATGAACATGATCTCACCCACCATCATCATGAAGTTCTAACACCTCGTTATAATGACCATCCGGCACGAATATCGCCCCAACTCAAGAAAGAACCTCACTAACAGGAAAAAAACCCCCCACAGACCTCACGCAAACGCAACGGTCAATCCCACTCGACATCCCCCAGCCCCGCGCCCAAAAAGCCCAAAACCGAGTGCTCGTCAGCTTCCTCATCCTCCCAAGCCACCACCACCGACTCCGGCGATGAATACAAAGCGGATGAAGAAGACGCCGAGGACGAGGACGAGGACGAGGATGCAAACCTCACAAGCACCAGCACCAGCACCAGCGACGAGGCCACCCCGGAGTCCAAGTCCAAGCCCAAGTCCAAGTCCAACGCTAAGTCCAATGGTAACCCCAAGCCTAAGCCCAAATCCACGCCCAAGAAGCAACAGCAGCAGAAGAAGAAGAAGCCTTCTAGTAGCCCCAAAAAACCACCCCCCAAAACCCCCACAAAAGCAACACCAGGGGAAGGGACAGGAACAGGAACAGGAACAGGGGAAGTCACCCCCAGCAAGACCCCGAAGACCAAACTGCCCCCGATCCCGACCACCCTGGCCGCGGCCACCGCCTCGGACCGGCTGATCCTCGTCATGCGCGACGACCAGAACAGCACCTGGGCCGAGATCAACGCCGCGTGGAAGAAGGTCACCCACCTGCCCGTGGGCCAGTCGACGCTGCGCATGCGCTACAACGCCATGAAGGCGAATTTCTCGGCGCTGAGTGCGGAGGATGTACGTTCCCCTTTTGCCCCAAACCCCGTTAATCAGGTTGGACCGACAGCAAGCTACACGTCAATCGGGATCTATGCTAACGCAGGCCTACGCTACAGGAAGAACTGTTCCGGCGGACGAAGGAGACCGTCGAGGCGAAGTTCGCGCAGGAGAAGTGGCGGCTGATTGCGGAGCAGATGGAGGCGACCGGTCAGAAGAAGTTTCCGGCGGCGGCGTTGGTGAAGAAGTGGAAGGAGTTGGAGAGGCAGGGTAAGGGGTCGGTTGGTGCTGCTGGTGCTGGTGCTGCTGCGACTTCTGTTGCTGCTGCGGCGATGCCGGTAGGTAAAGATGGAACCTCGTCTTCGGGGGACGCTGGGGAGGATGAGGATGAGGACGACGACGGTGAGGATAATGGCGCTGAGAATGGTGAAGCTGAAGCTGACGAGGTGGACGTGGTGTAAGTGAGTGAAGTGGGAATCCCCTACTATCGACTTTTCTCCTTTAACTTCCAAGTTCGGATGGTAGACTTCTCTCATCTTCTCGTCTCATCACCTGAAATTGCTTGAAGCTGCTCGCACTTGACTTTCAAGTCAACAGGAGGGGTTTCTCATGTCTTTCTTCAACTTTTCTGCTTTGCGCGTGGTTGATGGAGCACCAGGTGAGGTGATATCTCTGAAAACCTCATGAAAAACGATTTCAAGCTTTGACTACTTTCCTTTAGCCTGTGTGGTTGTTTTCCTTGACTAGCACAAGCATACGAAAAACGTGCTCATTTGCCTACGGGTCTCTCTATTCTCTTCTTCCTCCAATCACATAAAATCCATCACTCATTCAATACACTAGAGCTCCAAACGAAGAAGTAGAAAGACCTTGCCCACCTATCCCAAAACACAAACACCCGCCATGCCAAATCCCATCGACAAATCAGAAAAGAAGCAGAGCAGCTAAGAAGGTATCGTTTGTACCGGACAAATGCTCAATCAGACAAACCCCAACTAAACAAAACCCGACCAGGCACAACCCAGCCAACAAACTCAGAAACTCATCATCTCCAGACGCCCATCATGCAGTCGCCCGTCCAGATCTCCATGACCCAGACTATGACCGCCCAGATCTTTCATGTACTCATCACTTTCGGCGCGGGCCACGATCGCCGGCCGGATCTTGGTGCCCACGAAACCACGCCGGTCGCGGCCGGTGCGGCCCCGGCCCAGCCAGTTGTGCTTCAGATCCTTGCCGAGCGTCTCGACCCGCTCCTGGGCCGTGTCGCCGGTCTGCACGCTGGCCAGGACGCTGACGCACTGCAGCATGCGGCCGACGGTCTCGGTGATGATATGCGAGGTGTCGGCGGCCGCGTTGGCCCGGTGGATGATGCTCGGGCGCTGCGGCGGCGAGGAGAGAGACTGGAAGATCATCTGGTCGGGATTGGAGGAGGTGTTGGAGGCGGCGCGGCTGCGACTGCTGCTGCTGTTGCTATTGTTGTTATTGTTGTTATTGTTGTTATTGTTGTTATTGTTGTTGTTGTTGTTGCTGTGGCCGAGCAACGAGTCCGAGGAGTAGCTCCCGGACTGGGCGTTGAGGAGGGTCGAGGATTGGGAGCTGTAGCTGCCAAAGCCTGCGCCGGCACCGCCGCCGTCCAGCGAGGCAGCGGTGGGGGGCCGTCCGCCACTGGCGGAACTGCTCTTGGTGGTGACGCTGAGCGCCGCCGTGCCTAGCTTGATGCTGTCCAGACTCAGGCGTGAAAATGTCGACTTCAGACTCTCGTAGCGGCGCAGGATGATTCGGTCGCGGAAGGCGACAAGGACGAGATTGCGCACATCCAGCTCACAGCCAGGGTACTCGGCATTGCGTGCGGAACCCCAGAATTCACTGGCTTCACGCCGGGTCATCACGGACCCGCAGCCCTTGATTTCCAAGTCGAGAGGCAAGAACACGGCTTGAATGAAAGGCAAGATGGTGCCGAACACGAGCATCCACACCTGCACGAGGTGGGGAACCAGCTTCTCATCCGGCACCCCGTTCAAGGTATGGTTCAACGAAGCAAATCCGGTCTCCAGCAGTTCCCTCAGGTCATCGACCACCGCCGCCGGAGTGCGCTTCTGCACACAACGCTGGATATGGACGAGAACCAGCTTGTTGAGATCCTCAATCGCGATGCGCACGTCCTCCCCGTCGAAGATCACCATCAGTTTCGCCTTCAGGAAGTCCCAAGCGTCCTCCGGCGTCATGTTGTTCAGCCCGAACCCTTGGAGAGTTTCCCGCAACGCAGCCTCGGCGATCAGCCCGGAGGAGCTGCCCAAAGACGATGGCCCGGGAAAGACAGCCGGCGACCCTCCGGGTCCCTGTGAACTAGCTGCCCACTCCATCTGCTCCGATTCCGCCTGCGCCTGTGCCTGCGCCTGTGCCTGCGCCTGAGCTTGCGCTTTCTCCTCTTTCTTCTTCTCACGAAGCCCATGCAGCAGATCCAGCCCACTCACCGACTTGCCGAAGGTCGTGCTGGTGGCTCCCGGCGACGCGGGGGTAAACGAGTATAAGGACTGCGGTGCGTTGGGGTCTGACGGCTTCGAATTACTCGACGCGGACGACAGCGGGAGGTTGTAATGATCGTCGCGATCCTTCAGCTTCAGCTTCTGGCGCGACAGGAAATGGTGTTTGTGTTTCTCCTTGTCCTTGTCCTTCTCTTTCTCGCTCCCCGTCGGCCGATCTGCCGGCACGACGGTGCTCGCGGACGCATTCGACAGGTTGTACATGGACGAATTGTTCGACGGGAAAGTCTCCGCCAAGCTGGTGGTCGAAGCGCTGACGATGCGGGACAAGCCCCCACTGGGGAACCCCATCTTGCTCGGCGAGGGCAGTCCCCTTTCCTTGCCGGTCCCGTCCTTGTCCCGACTGATGCCGATGTGCTTGGGCTTGGAGAAGAGCTTCATCTTCGACTTCTCGCCCTTGTGTTTGTGTTCGCGCTCCTGGGGGATCTCGAGCCCAAGCCCGGGCGGCTGGAGCCCTGGATTTCGGGGGAATACCACGTTGGCCGCTGTCGTGGCAGCATGGGTGTGTCCGGCCGCGGTGCTGGTGCTGCCATTGGCGTGGAATGGCTGCCCGGCTGATACGCCAGTCGTGCTGGCTGCTGTCGAACCGGGGGGGGCGAAGGTCGGGGGGGGGGGAGGCGGGGGGGGGGGCGAGATGCTGCCGCCGCGTCGGGAACGGGAGCCGTCTTCGGAGACCCCTCGTACGGTCGCGGGTCGTTTCACGGGATGTTGGGGGTGGTTAGATTGTTGGTGTTGTTTTTGGGGATGTTGTTGATGTTGGTGCGGCTGTTGCTGCTGTTGCTGCTGTTGTTGTTGTTGCTGTTGCTGCTGCTGCTGTTGTTGAAGCATGGCCGTCTGGGCCGCGATACGAGAAGCTGACAAAGAGGCCTCGGTCGAAGAAGCGGTAGGGAGCGATGGTTCAAAGAAACCCTGGGAGTGGTGACGAGAGCGTCGCTGCAGCTCAGCCGGGACGACCCGTCCCGAAGGCTTTCGACTCAGGATCTCATTATGCGGCATGAAGGAGACGGGGGATCGCGCAGATGAGGTGGTGGTGGTGTTCAAAATGGTAGTCGAAGCGGAGGTGAGATTGGCGGTGTTGAGCGAGGAGATACGCGGTGGCCGCGGCGACGCAGAGGCAGAGGCAGTGCCAGTAGTAGGCGCAGGCGCAGGCGGCAGCGGGAAATTGGATTGCTGCGGCGAGATGGCGGTCACATTGGAGGTCATCGACGAGGCATCACTTCCAGAGGAGCCAGGACGGTTGTAAAAGGTATAGGAGTAGGAATCGTCAAAGGAACGTCGAGGAAGAGGGGGGATGGGAGGGGGCGGACTCTGCGAAGCAGGAGGTGGAGGAATCGGAGACCGCGTGCCTCGCTCTGGAGAAACCGGCGAGCGCAACATTGTGAGTGTACAGTAACAAGTGGTACTACCTTCTTGACTCCATGATCTGATAATTAGAGTAGAAGAAAGAAGAAAGAAGGAAGGAAGGTATGGAGTTAGTTGTTAATTCATCAATTGCAGAATTGGATTAGTCGAGAACTTCTCTCTGTCTCGTCTTGCCCTGGAGAGAAGATCAGCAACCATTGATTGAATTGATCGAATTGAATCGATTAACTAATCTTTACCGGGTGTCGATCCCCTCCTGAAACCACACCCTCCCTTCCTTCCAGGCTTAGGTTCCCCCCCCCCCCCCCCACCTTTCCGCTTTTACTCACTCTGATTCTCTCTCCATCTTTTTCTCCAACACCCTCTCCTTCTCTCCTAAACGAATACTACATCACTACATCACCAACCCCACCACGAATCCTTCTCGCAACAATCGAACACAATCGCAATCCCCAACATGTCATCCCCCACCAAGCTCGAGGCCATCTACACAGCCCCCCATCAACAATCCCACACCTTTACGCAACCCATCGCCGCCCCTCTCCCTGCCTCAAATGATCCCGCTCAAGTCCAAACCAAAATCACCTACCTCGCCGAACTCCGCAAAACCGTCCCGGCCCTCCAAAACGCGATCAACATCTTCCTAACCGAGAAGATGGAAGAGGACAAAAAGGCCGCCGACGCCCAGGGACGCCAATTCTCCGAGAAGGAAGCCAAGGAGGAAGCGAATTACGGCGAGGAGGTCGTGGACGAGGAGGATGCTTGAGGACGTCCCAAAATGGAGACCTGTCACAATCCCACAGATGAACATTTCTGTGTGAGCGCGGCTGAAGAAGGGGCTCATCTACACTACGCCATTGACACATCAGGGGCGTACGCTTACGACACATGATGATGAGATTGACACTTTTCAGGGAGGCTATGATATGATATGATGTGAAGACGGCAGAATATGAAAGATGCAAAATATGAAAAGAGATCGCTAGTCCCTCCCCCCCCGGGTATCATCGTGCAGGAAGCGTCCGTCCCACTCCAAAATGGCAAATATGTGAACAACAAGATCAGGAAGGGAAATACTGAAGGCAAGAAAAGGCGGATGCAGATGAAAAGACGGAACGCAAATATACGATACCTCAAGAAAAAGACCATAACTTCTATTTACAACGATAGCGACAACATCAGGAAAGAGACCGCTTGCGGTTGGCGCAACCAAGATGGACAACTGTATTACTGCGGGGGAAAGTCAGCAATCGATCTCTTCACGAAGCACATGAGGGCAAAGCAAATGACGTACTCTGGATACACGTTGATCACACTCCCCCCGATGCGCTTGTGGCAGATCCCGCACACCCTCTCTTCGGTGATGGTGACATGTCTGGATCGCGACAGCTTGGGGTCCGTGCCCTCCCCCACCAGCAGCTGGGCTTGGGTCTTGATGTTCTCGGCTTTCTGCAGGCTCGCCACGATCCGGCTCTCGTTGAGGATCGAGTTGGCGGCGCGCATGCGACCCTTGAAGTAGAAGTCCAGCTCCTTCACCGGGAGGGTTTCGGGGATCAGGTCCAGCGCGGACCCGGGGGGCAGGCGGGACCCGTGTTTGGCCAGCACTTCGAGCGCTGGTCCGTATCGTGGCTCGTACCCGTGGGGCGGGGTTAGATAGAGCGCTAGGAGAGTCAAATAGATCGACGGCTTGTCTTCTTCGTAAGCCAGCAAAGCCACACAAGGCCCGCCTTCTTCGGTAGATGCCATATCGTCCTGTTTATGGAGATGGTTGCAGTATCTGTGGGAAAAGTCAGCTGTGTGAATGATTTACTCTATTTCAGTGATCACCTACTCCTCAGCCTTGGCATAGTCCTCCAGCTTGAACACGTAGATCTCCAGCGCCTGCTTGTGTTGTCCCATCTTGCTGAACACGATTGCTCGCGCTTCGAACAATTCAGGATCTAGAGAAAGGCAAGTCAGCGGATGAAGGTGGCGAGAAACGAAAAAGACAGACATACCGTCGCGATCCAGGCGGTTCAGAATCTTAGCTGGAGAGTACTGCGTACTCGACCTGAGCATAGTGAGGAACTTGGTTCGCCACGCGACGTGCTCGTCTTCACTGGCGAAGTCCCACTCCTTGTTTCGGGACGACTTCAAACGGTCCAGGTAGAGATTGAGCAGCTGCTGATGTAGATCCGGCGACATGTCGTTCAGCTCGCCGATGACATGTTCCAGGTAACGCACGGCCAGATTCACATCGATGCCCCGCAGAAAGTCCAGCACGCGATGCCGGGGTAGGGTCTCTGCGTTCTCCGTGTCCGCCAGGAAGATTTCCATGCCCAGCTCGGGATCTTCGCGCAGCGGCCATTCGGCGAACTCGAGGATGAGGTCGATCCGGTCCGGCGGGAGGTTCTGCAGGTAGACGACAGTCCTCTTGGGACCGTGCAGCTGCGGCGCGGTCTCCTCTTCCTCCTCCGCCTGGCCGAACCGTTGAAGAAGCTCCAGCGCCTGTCGGTGCAGTTTCTTGCCGTACAGGAAATCGATCAAATCATTGTGCCGACCGGTCTCCTCGAGCCTCTCCATGACCACATCAGGGTCGCAGAAGTTCGCGATCCGGAAGAGAGACCCCGCCAGCGCAGGGATCGCATACATATACGCCCGGAAGAGAGTCGTGTCGACGAGTTTGGCCTTCTCGCGGATTTTCTCCCCGAACTCAGGATCCTGGGTATCCTTGGTGCTTGTCTCGAGCAACTTCATCACGGAATCAGTCAATTCATCCGGGGCCGCGTCCACCGGCATATCGAACGCCTTCAGGGATCCATCGGGGTTGAGGAAGCGCTGGAACCGCCGACGGACATCGGCCAGGTACCTCTGCAGCTCCCGAACCGCCAGCTTGAGATCATTTCCTTCGAGGGCCTTGTCGGTCTTGGCGTCTTCGGTCATCCTCGTCCGGATACTGGCCGCATCGTCGAATGTCTCCGTCTTGGACCGCAGCAGCGACATGACCGAAGGGGCGTGCGAGAGCGTCTTGGCCGTGGCCGCAACAGCCGCATCCGCCGTGTGATTGCCATCTACCTGCTTCTGGTTGTCGGGAGTCTTGGACGGGCTCTCGGTGGCGCTGTCTTCGGATTCCTCTGGCTCCTCAGGGACCGACGATAGATCTCCCGCCACGATCTTGGGATAGAGTCTGATCACCGTCTCCGGTGGCGCAGAAATCTCGGTGAATATATCCATCGAGTCCGCGTATTTCCGGAGTCGAAACAGCCCTTCGGCTTTCTCGAGCTTGATCGCACGGAGTCGGCCCTGCTTATCCCTCAAGAGAGCATCCTCCAACATACTTGTCAGACTCACGGCCTCGTCCAGGTAGCCCTTCTCCACCAGCGAGTCAATCTGAGTATCATAGCTCAGCGCTTCCATGCGCCAGATCGTGCGCTCGCTCGCCACCAGGAACCCCTTGCCTGCATGGGCCAAGCTGATCGTCGGCTGGGGAATATGTAGGATGTTGGCGGATGGCAGTGGAACCGACTGGAGTAGCGACAGCGTCTCCGGGTTGCGCACCTCCAGCACGCCCTTAGACGCGTCATGCAGGGCCAGCAGAAACGGATACGAGTACCCGATATCAGCCGGCGCATGGCTCCAGGGGATCTGCCGCCTCCCCAGCGAAGCGCCATTGATGTCGATGAACTGGGTATTGATATCCTTCGCCAACAGCACCTGGCCCTCCGACAGCCTCGCCGCCAGAGGCTTCGGGGCCGACCCGCCAATGCCAATATAGCTCATACTGGCGACCCCGACCCCCGTCAGCCGGCCGGTTTCCTGCCCACCCAGCCCGCCGATACTCCCGGGGCCGACCAAGTCCGTCACGTTGGCCTTTTCGATATCGACCATCACAAAGCTCGACCCCAGCCCGGCGACCAACTTCGTCCCGGACACCCACGTCAGCGTCTTGATGCCACTGACCAGCGTCATCTCCGCCACCTCGCCCTCCACCTCCATATCTCGCCACACCCACAGCAAGACCTTGCGCTTGACCGCCACCGCCAGCCGGGACACGATCGACGGCACGCCGGTCTCGGGATCATTGACGATATTCGAGGTCACCGCAAACGTCGACGCCCCTTTCGTGCGCGTCAACTGCTCCTGCAGCGCATACGTCTGCAGATCATGGATGGACACATACCCGCCCGACAACGAGACCAGCAACTTGGCCTCCTTGATCAGGGCCAACTGCTCCACCTTGTACCGCGAGAACTTCTCGACCTCGCGCAGAAGATCCGTCTGTTTCAATTTGACCGGCACATGTGGTGCTGTGGCTGTTGCTGTAGCCGCATTCGCATGATCCGCAGCATTCGTAGCCCCTGGGTTCGCATTCTCCGCTCCACCACCCTCAGCATTACGAGCGGGTACCGCCGCCGCCGTCGTCTTCGTACCAACACCCCCATTAACATTATTCCCCAGCGCCGCATCATCATTACCCCCAGACTCCTTCTCCACCTCGTTCACCCGGTAGATCCGGAGACTCCCATTATTCAATCCCACGAGCACGCGGTCCCCGTACGCGAGAACGGATTCGATGCGCGATCGATCGCGCGGTTTGAACTCGACGAGCGGCCGAGCGATGAAGGCGGATAACATGGTGTGTCCCCCTAGGTCCTTCCGGACCCCCTTTATGGAAAAAGCCCGAGGGGTTGTCGGGTTCGGGGTTGGTGGTGAGTTCGGGCGCTAGAAAGAACAGAAACAAAAGCAAAAGCTCAAAGGAGCTGTGGGTGGATCGCTTTGGGGGTTTGCGGTGTGGACGTCGAGTCGGGGTGGTTGACGGTGGTTCTCGGGATCAGTCCGCAGAGCAGGAAAGTGTTGCGCGGGATGGGCTCGAGTTTGCGTAGCAAGAGTCTATACTGATTTGTCTATCTTTCGTTCGAGCGGGGGAGGAGGTAGAGGCATGTCCGGTGCTCTCTGTGGAGGTTGAGGGCTGGAAGAGGGAGGGGAGTGGAATCAACGGGCCGAGGTGATCACAGCCATGATATGTTGAGGTGCTTGTTAGTCGAAGGGTTGCTGGGTGTGGCAGAAGACCAGATAGAAAGTCGCTTCTGCTGCTGGAGACAATTATCAATGAGCCGTGGTATTATAGAGAATGGTATGGTGTATGGACTGTATTGTGTAGGTAGAAACAGAGAGAGGTTCGTTCGGTTCTATAAGTGAAGCTGCCCGGCCGCAATCCGGACCTGCCAAGCCCACTACGGCGAGCTACAGCTGCCATTGGATGAAAGCACGACCGACAGCCATCAATCATATCATTTGACGCAAGTCTTGTACACTGCACATATCACGTTGCAACTGGAGCTATGCATATCCAGACACTGTTAACCCCTAGACACATGCCGTATATTTGACAGAAGGTCCTTCATAAACAATACGATCAGACGACTCGCCGGGAATGGCTGTCAAAACTTATCGGTTCCGTCATCGATGGCCTGTGAGGCTTTGGTTGTCTCCCGCTCACCGCTCGCCATCATCTCCTCCGGCCGGGCTTGAGCTTGTCCGCCATTGGCGCATGCTGTCTAGAAACCGGGCCACCACCGAGTAGTAGACCCACCCGACAAGAAGAGAAAGGGCCAAAAAGAAACAGCAAAAGAATGTTGGGACGAGCCGGGCTTGAACCGGCCACCTTCAGATTAATGGCCGAAGTTGGTACTTCAGTCTGACGCGCTCCCAGATGCGCCATCGTCCCATTATTGGTTGCAAGACGCTCTTCTGGCTTTATTATCCTACAATCCTAAAGACTTGGACTAAATATTCTCTAACACTACCAGTCGAATCCCAGATGCGCCACTGCCTCAATTGGTGGAAATGTTGTCCTTTGGGTGCATATACGATCGATGTCTTCTTGCGAGCCAGTTGCGAAACAGTAACGAGGAGAAGTCAGGCTTACGAGCAAGAGATACGTGCAAGAGCTAGGAAAAGATTTGACTTTATTACTTCTCTGCGTTTAGGCACTCACAACCAAGCTACCTAATAGCGCCATAGCCTTGGGGTATCGCCACCCACAGAGGAACGTTGTCGGCAATAAAAGTCCACAAAGGGTTGCAACCAATTTGAAGAAGAGGTGCAGACCCAACCCTGCCTCAATTGACTAGTAACCAGCGCCCCAAATCTTTCTGAACACGGATCGAAGAGTGACATGAGAGGAAGAAAAGAGCATTATGTAACTGTAAAATAATAATGTTTTGGTAAAGACCGGCAGAAATCGACCAACCCAGGTATGCCCAACCAGTATGCATGTTTTCAATAAGCGCCCGATATGTGCAGATGAAAGAGTAAAAGTCTCGTCTCGTTATTCTATTTTGTGCCTGGTAAATGCTTACGCCTTGGTTTCCGTGGAGTATTCCTGGTGCTTCGCCGAAGTGCCCTTAGCACGCCAGGTCGACACGGCGGGGATATCAGCCTTGAACCGTTGTTCCTCCGTACCATATGCACGCGGGGTAAGTTTGATAAGTGTATGGAGGGGGACTTCCATCCAGGGACTCTGCTCCTGGGGTGTGTTGAGGAAGTAGGCGTAAATACAGCGCAACACAGCCTGGTGGGTCACAATGATCACGTTCTCACTGCGCTCCAGCTCCATGATAATCGGCTCCAAGCGAATGACAACATCGCGATACGATTCGCCACCCCGGTAGCGGTAGTTGTACTTGTCTTCGTCGCGGGCGGCAAAATCCTCAGGATACTTCTCGGCAATTTGCTCGTAGGTCAATCCGTCACAGACTCCCGAGTCGAGCTCATCCAGAGCCTTCCACTCCAGTTTCTCGAAACCAGTTTCCGCAGCTAAGTGACGCGCCGTCTGGATGGTGCGTTTTAACGTGGAGGTCCAGATCACAATCTTCGTGTTGGGCGGTACACCGGACTTCTTCAGTAAACCAGGTAGCGCTTTGGCATAAGCCTCTCCACGTTCAGAGATGTTGGAGTCACCTCCAATCTTGCCAGTTAGGTTGTACTCTGACTCTCCGTGCTAGAGGGCGATTAGTAAACGTGTGTAGATGCATGATTACTCAAACTTACGCGAGATAACCAGATCGAGCGAGGCTTGATGTGGAGGTTCTGGATGTAGTAGACCAGTCGACTGGACAAATAGTCCTTGATCTGGTTGATGATGACGGTGGAGCCAACGTTGATGAGTTTTACGTAGGTGTAGCTCTTCTCGCCGTCATCAATGGTCTCGTAGACTTTCTCGTAGTTGCGGATGCGCTCGCGGAAATCCCGGGCAGCGACTTCCGGGTCCTGCCCCTTGTAGTCCGGCGAGGTCGTCTTGACCTCGAGAATGTTGTTCATAATCAAGTCCTCTTCGTCGCATATCGACTCGACGTACAACGTCTCGATGTTAGCTTCTCCGCAGCGCTCGTTGATCCAGCGGCGGCGCTCTTTCGTCGAATTCGTCGCATCGAGGATCGCGACCACTCCCTTGCCAGCATCAAACCACTGGATCATATCTGTGATTGCAGCGTCGGCCGCGGCACGGCGCATCTTCTCGCCCTCCTCGTTGTGGGGGTCAAAGAACGTGGCGCTTGGCTGCGGTGTGCCCTGTCGGCGATAGGTGCCGACGTTGAACACGCGTGCAGGAATACCAACCCAGGCGAGATATCTCATAGCTGGTCATAAAATCAGTTAGTTTCCACACCGCCCATGCCATGGGAACTTGAAAACTCAACGCACCTTTGCCAGCGATAAGACTCTTGCCTCTGGCTGGGAGGCCAACCATGACCACACAGATTTTCGACTCATCGGACTATCAATGGGCAAATAAGCATCCGAGGCAAGACAAAGAAAATCGCAAACGAGGCCATGTATGAGAATGGTGTGGCAGAAAATGGCAATGTGGTGGGTGGCGAGCTGCGCCAACCCGCTGGAACTCAGCATTATGTCCCAGCGGGGACTTGAAGGGGATAAGTCCGTAATGAGACAAAAGGCAAAGGCAGCATGACACTGGCCTTGTGTCACATACCACAACCCAGACACATTGCGGTGTTGTTTGCAAGCTCCAAAAAAATAGCAGAATAAGATATATTAAAAGGTTGCGCCAATCAAGGCACGTGCAATGGAAACACCCGACAAACAAAAAGCATGGCAACTTACGCTGGCGAAGTAGTGTGTCTTGCCGTGGCCATTGTCTCGACGAATTAAACCCGACGACATGATTCCAATTGACTATCGAATCTGAAGTATTGTGCAAGCAAACGGAGAGAGGAACAGAATCCAGAACCTCGGCCACCAGGGTGTCCGATCGCGGACAAAAAGGAGCAGGAGGACTAAGGGTGTAAGAGAAAAGAAACCGCTCGTGTGTGAGTGTGTGTAACTCTGTAGTACTCCGTGTATAGAACCCTTTTTTTTTCTTGGCTTGACTGTAGATGTGCTGTTGGAGGTTGTCGCTAACCACTAAGAAGCAGACAGGTCCGGCTGTCTCACGAGGGGGATCTTTGGCAGGGAATAGGATGGTAGTGATGAGTACGGAGTAGCAGCAGGAGTAGTAAATTGATCAACAGATGACTCTGGTTGGATGGGCATTGAAACCCAACGGGGGGGGCGGTCGATGCGGTGAAGGGAGTTGAAAGAAGACAGGCAGTCAGTCGCAAAGTGTGAGGAAGAGCACAGACGTCATGCCGCGGGGCAGTTGCCGGCGACGCTGGGTTGGTTATTAGTGATTGTCTAGGCAATGATGATTCAATAGTAGGTCAGTAGCTGTAAGAATAGGAGGTAGACCCTGTTCTGGGTTTCCTCCACGCAAAATGAGTAACTTTGTGGTGCAGCGGTGCGCTTGAAGCAGCTGAACCCTCTAGATCGTATAGGAAGAAAAAAAATATATATAATTAACAGAAATAAAAGTAATCACGACCGGCGCACTTGACTTTTGACCAGACTAGGTTACGATAAGTGATTTCCGTCTCCCTCCCCGGCCGGTCCCCTTTTCCCCGGTCGGATTGTCGGATTGTCCAGTCGGCCCGCACGTGACCGCCCATTACGTTTTCGTCTCGGGTAAAATCGTAACCGTCTGTCGCAAAATGGACTTCGGGCTCCGGAGACTAGATTGGAGAATTACCCGACTAGGACAAAAGTGACTCACGGTCGCCTGACTTGCGCGGTTTTTCTTCGCAAATTTCGCGGCGTTGAGGCGAAGATGTTGCAGCCGGAGGTCTGGCCATCATGTCTCATGCCTCATGCCTTTTTCTGCCGATCGGGTTTCCGTCCCTTGCATTGCCTGCTGGTGGGACTGGGGATGACAGCGCCAATTGTCTTGTCTGTCTGTCCATCGGTCCCCTGCCTATCGTCCCATTCCTACAGTATCAATCCCCACGCGTCCGACAACAGAGGATTACAAATCTCGTCGTACATGTTGGTCCATACCGTCATTTAGGCTTCGGGAAGAACGAAGATCATGAATTTATCCGCTAGTCAAATCACTACTAGCTAAAGAGCAAATACAAGCAGACGAGAACCTGGTCGGTAATATTCCTTCAATTAAGCTAATCTCAGCCCTAAAATAACTCCGTTTTAGTCGACTCTATCGTCATTAGATCTGGGAAACCTTCCCGTTTTTAGAATTTCGGTGCCTTTTCTGTGCCTCGGATCTGCACCAGGATTGGGGAGCCTCAAAAGACGGAAGCCAATCCCCCAACAAAGATGCTCCCAAGGGAGCGATGACGTCGGGGGGGTAAAGCGCGGCTTTCTTCCAGCGACGGGGGCTGTGGTTTTCTTCTTTTCAATCGGCTGCTCCCTAGCCATGGGTTGAGAATCAGACGCAGTAGAACGAGGCAGAGAATGGAGGTCATGAATCTCTTGCGGGAGAGTGTCGGGGTGAGAACAACCCACCCCCTCCCTTTTTATGTTTCGTCGTAACAAACGTCAAGCATGTACTTTTGGCTTTGAGAGGGTATGCAGGAACTTTTTTTTCGTGTCGTGAGAAGGGTTGACCGGATCAGCCGTATAGCTTTCCCAGCTATACGCCGACCGCAACCTCAGCAACAGCATTGGCGTCGTCAAGGGCTGCTACATCGTCCCGGCTAGACGGCCACTTGGGACGTCTCTCCTGGGTGTTGGTCTCTCCGCGAGCTCTCTGGACCCGCAGCATGGAGCCCCAGGGACCCTCCTGGCGGTGCAGAGCGCCCATGGCGTTCTCGGCCTCCTCGACGCTGTCGAAATCGACAAAGAGGTAGTAGTGGTCACCGGGCTCGAACCGCTTAGCGGGGTGAGGTGCGAACTGCTTGCTGACGTTCTCACTATCAAGCGAAGGTTAGCTTTGTATGGCATCAAATGCTGTAGGGCTAATCTTACACATTGTATCCCTTGAAGAAGTTGCGGATGTTGATGTTGAGAGCGTCCTGATCGGTCAACTTGGGAAGACCGCCAACGTAGAGACGGCGGCTGGCATCGTTGTTGACGGCTCTGGCGGGGGAAGAGGGAGTTTCATCATTGCCACGGCGCCACCGGTCAGCGCTGAAAGGCGAGCTTCTCACCTCACGGGGGGAGCCATCCACGCGTGGTTGCTGTTGCTGTTGCTGTTGCTGCTGCTGCTGCTGCTGCTGCTGCTGGGACCGCTCACTGGCGGACTTCACAACACCCGGCTTGATCTTGACTGGACGGCCAAGCATGTCCCGGCCATCCAACTCAACCATGGCCCTCTCGGCCAGCTCCTTCGTCTCGAGGTCAACAAAGCAGTATGAGGGGTTGCGGCCCGTGAAGGGGTCAATGGCGATATCGATCCGCTCGCTAGGAAGCACTCAGTTTGGGGGATCATCAACAGACAAAAGTCGTTTCGCATACATTTGGAACTCGGCAGCGGTAAAGAGTGCTTGCACATCCTCCGACTTGGCCGTGTAGGGCATGTTACCCACGTAAAGACGGCGGCCCTCAGAGATAGCCTGCGGCACGTGTGCGCTGGGTCTGCTGAAAGCAAGTCTCGAGGTGCTGGTCTTGGGGCCCGGGGAGCCGGCGCTCTGCGCACTCGGGCTCTCTTCGCCCTTCAAGCGCCAGTTGGGGGAGTGGAAAGCACGGCCGGTGGTTCTGACTCCATTCTGATAGAAGTTCTTCTGGGGGGCTAGGCACTGGTTAGTGACGAGTGCGTCAAGAAGTTGTGCTGATCGCAGCCCCTCGAGGAGCCCGAATGCAATTGGCCTACACACTTTGTTGCTGGGGGACGGGGCTTTCAGGAGCGTCGGCCATTGTGACAGAAATTTTCGGAGACTCGAACAAAGTCAGGATCGGTAGTGACAGGGTATGAGAGTCGGTAGCCTATGCGACGAACGACAAATCAGCATGGTAAGGTCGCAGGGCTGCCGTAAATACACGGATTTCCTAAATTGACAAGAGATGAACAGAGCAGAGTGGAAGAAAATCATACCTTTGTTTCCGGCGAATACTCCACGCAGATAAAATGAATGTCGGACAGAAAGACGAAACACTCGATATCCCCGATCTTCTCAGACAATCAAAATCTCCGAGGAACAAAAGGCAAGCGACGGAAAAACAACACAGAAACGCTCTGCTGCTGAAGCCTGCGTCAAAAAATTAATCTGGGGCGAGGCCAAACCGGAAGCAAACACCGCAAACACCGCAAAACCACCGCGGCCCGAGAGGTTCCACCGCCGGCTGTGATTGGCTGGTTAGCGAACCAAACGCGTATATAAAGAAACGGCGGGCCTCAAATTTTCATTCCAGTTTTCTGTTTCTTTCACATCTGTTGTCCACCTTGCGTTGCTCAACAAGATATGACTTCATTTGCAGCTGGCTTCGAATGCTTGTTTCGAAGATCCAGCTTGCTCTACGACTTGCGAACAGCTCAGCTATGAGAATAATGTGTTGCTCTGGCTCAGCAAACATCGCATTGAATTCGTCCATCCCAGATATCCCTAGCATCGTTTACCCTTGCATATGTCACCACTCCTACGTGTTCACTTCAATGATGAAGCAAGATTCACACAGACCTGTTCCGAGTTATTATACATGCGGATCAACAATCGTACCAACTGCTGTCTGACAAAGTGAACACTACACCTACCCTTGCCCGTTTCTTGTCTCCGTTCCTTGATATTAGAAGAAATGAAAATCGCTCACTTGTTGCACTTGAGATCAATTTACTCTCGGCCCTCAGTAGAGACTGAAGATATCAAGTAGGATTAGCTAGAGGGCTCCCTGTACTGTACACAAGACCCTGCTACTCCTGCCACTACCCATCAAAGATGCGGGAATCGAATTGCACGGCAGCTGGTGTCAAGCATGATCGTACCCCGTATCGGTCACAGCGTCGTCATCCTCTCTCTCGTACAAGATCTGAGGACGAACGTTCTGACGGAGGATGTATCTCCTGATGAAGTAGGGGATCTGACGTAGGCCATACTTGGCGTGGAAACGTGTGGGAACCCCAAACACTTGATCCAATTCTTCGAGCGTCTTTCCTTTGGTTTCGGGCATGAACAGAAGTATCAGAAACCATCCGACTATACACCAACCGCCGTACCAGCTGAATGCTCCTTGCGGCGTGAATGCATGTCGAAGGGAGGGCCAAGTGATGGCGAGCGTGAAGTTGAACAACCACGTTGTTGAGGTAGCTAAAGCCATGCCGTAGGACCGCACGTAGAGTGGATAGGCTTCGGCCGAGTATGTGAATGGCACTGGTCCCTCGCCAAACGAATATACAACACCGAAGAGGTAAGTGCCTAAGGCGACACACCCCATGCGGGCAGAAGTGTCTTCGGGGATCCAGAAGCTGAAGCCGGTGAAGAACATCGACAGAGACATCATGGGAAAGGTGGTTAGGAGAAGATTGCGACGGCCATACGTGTCGATTTTCCAAACGGCGGGTAGGGCAAAGAGAAAATTGATCATTCCCCACCCGAAGGACGCTGCTAGTGCCCTGAGCTGATTCTCGACTGTCAGCATGTTCTCCGGCCCTGTGGACTGCAGGAAAATCTCAGATGAGTAGTATGCGATAACGTTCACGCCTAAAGGTTCATCAGTCTTCTGATTTCCAGCTCAGATTGGTCGCACAAACCGCAGAACTATGAGACATTAGCAGCTGAATATTTCATAGTAACTATTTTGTTTGAACACACCTGTTGCATGAACATCACCAGTTCTGACGCAATCATTGCACGTCGGTTACGAGGAACACGGATGAGCTCCAGGATCTTGTTCTGGCCAAGCTTTATGCTGGCCTCGGCTTTCAGCAATGTATGCATATAGTACAAGTCACGCGCTGCTTGGACCTTGTTGTAACGCAAGCTGCACATCGACTCATACGCTTTATCGTACCGATTCCGCGACAAGTACCAACGAGGGGATTCTGGACAAGTGAAGACAAAGCAGCAAACCACTAGAGCCGGGAACATGGCTGAAGCCATCATTATACGCCAATTGAGGCCGACGATCCCTGAAGAATCAGAGACCTTGAAGAACGCAAGGTCTGCGGCGTAGCCGAACATGATTCCGAATGCTGTCCACATCTGCCATTGCATTACCAAAGCACCACGGATATTAGGAGGTGCCGTCTCCGCGGCGTAGATCGGCACCGTTGCCGACTTGGGGCCTATCCCGAAGCCCAACGCAAAGCGAGCGATGAACATATGCCACCATGTGTTGACAAATCCTTGCCAGAGGCAAGTAAGCGCAGAGAAGCAGCAGGTGATGAAGATGGTCCCTCGACGGCCAAACCATGCATTGAATGGCACCGTCAGCCAGCAGCCGATGATGGCACAACACAGATATGGCGCTGAGTTGACCAGTCCAAGCAGCCAATTGGAGCGGGAGTCGGTGCCGTCGATGCCGAATTGATGCTTGTAGAAGATCTGGGCGCCATTGACCACCGTCTCATCTGCAGGAGTCAAGGAGTTTCCGTCAACTTTCACCGGGAACCCTTGGACGATCAATGGAAATAGAACTTACCCATTCCTTGTACCGCAGCAGAGAGTGAACACAGAACAATGACCAGGTACATTGTCCATGGCTGATGCCAACGGTGGGCGAATTCTTTCTTCAAGACTTCCAGCTCCTGGGGCGTCAGACCAGGAACCTCGGCGTACTTTTCGGGCCTTTGCGCTAGTATGGCGCCCATGGCAAAAGCACGAATGTCTTCTTCATCCCCCAGATGATGCTCGATGGCGAAAGTTATTCCTCGCCTGCGCAACTCTTCATGAGTTTGACCAGCAAGAGGATTGGCCAGCTTTGCATTGATGTTACGCCGAGCACGCTCCGCAACGGTGCCGAGCGAGCGTTGGAGAGTAGTGTTGCCATCAGTCTCCTGACGGTTGAGAGCAGATGTCCCAACGACAGGAGACTCTTCTTTACCGAAATAACCCTTCATCTGCGCGTGTTGATGTCTCGTCTGCGCTGGTGGTGGTGCTTGGACGACGAGTTAATGCAGGAATGCGAGACGACTAGGAAGAGATTGATGTTAGTAGAACTGTCAACACATCAAGTCTTATGGTTGAGAGTGAATGACGATCGATCCTTGGTAAGTGCACTCCTACCGAACCAGACTGTCCATCCCACACCATGTGTCCGACAACAAAGAGAAGTAGCCGTGATAAAGAAGTTGAAGTCGAGACGTATGGATGAAAGATCATCTGGCTGAGAGACGAACCGGTTTTGGCAAAAGGAGGTCTGCACATACAAAGAATCCTCTCTTCCCCCCTGGGCCATTACCAAAGATTCGGATGGAATGAGGAGTGAAGTAAGTGAGCAGGCGAAGAGAGACTCGACTCACTCTGTCTGGTTGACCAGCAGAAGAACCGCACGACTGATCTTACCAGTCGACATTCCGGGGGGGCTGCGACAGCCCTTCGAACGAGGCTGAGACCGGGCGTTGAGCGCAGCTGATCGTGTCGCTCTTCTGCTTCCTCACGGACTACTTCCAAGTATTGAGGTCGAAGTGCTCGCTGGGTGATTGACGGGATGCAGACAAAGAGGCAGTGAGGTGGAAGTGAGGCTCGTATCCTACCCAATGACCATCACGCAGTATTCTCCCTCAGAAGCCCAAGACCTGGTCTTCGTGGTTGAACCAGATGAATATTAGATGGTCTGTATCTCAGCATATGCCGATGAATGAAAACTGCCCCGACATTCTTCCTCTGCGGTCTTCTCGAAGTGTCTGAAGCGTGTACAACGTTGCACGATCCTACATCTTCAGCCATCTGATGAACCGCACATGAATACCATCGTGCGTTGTTCCGGAGTCAGCCGACAGTAAATACGAGAGTTCATCATTTTCTCGACAATGTGCTGATCTGTATGACTGTTGACAACGTGTCTCGTGAGGGGCGAATGGGGAGACCCCGGATTTCCGTCGCTTACGCTTATGCTTGGCTTACTTATGAGCCTTTATGGTTTGGAGTCTATTGTTTGCCGGGATGCGGGGTTGCCCGCCCCGTCGGATGCGGATTTTTGAGTGTTAAAACTAGGTATACAAGCAACCTCAAGGACAAACTATCCTGATCCGACTTATCCGAACGATCGGAAAGGTTCCTGCATGATGTTCAGCCCGTTTACCTGGCCTTCCATCCGATTTCTCAAGGGGAACCTCCCAAGAAACAAGGTAGCTGTGGGGAATTGACGGCGTTGTTGAGTCGGCAAGGGGACAATGAGGGGAAGGAACCTAGCCGCTTCCGACCCGCCTGTATCATGAAGTCAAGAGACTCTTTCCCCGCCGCCATCGCCGAACTATAACTATAACCCGTTGACCACCATGATGTTGTGTCTGATCTGGTTCCTAGAACAACACTTCAATCAAACTTCGATCGACTGAACGCTGAACACAGCACAAGCCATGCTCGGAAAAATAGCCCTCGAGGAAGCCTTCGCGCTTCCACGCTTCGAAGAGAAGACCCGCTGGTGGGCCAGTCTGTTCTCCACCGACCCCGACACCCATGTCAAGGAGATCACCGACATCAACAAGATCCGCATTGAGCATGCGGACAAACACGGCGTGGGCTACCAGATTCTCTCTTACACGGCTCCAGGAGTCCAAGACATTTGGGATGCCGCCGAGGCGCAAGCTCTCGCCGTCGAAATCAACGACTACATCGCCGAGCAGATCCGTGACCGCCCTGATAGATTCGGTGCATTCGCGTAGGAACCTCCTTCACTACCTCGGATCTCATCCAAACTAACGCATCATCCAGAACTCTCTCCATGCATGATCCCCAAGAAGCCGCCACCGAGCTCCGCCGCTGCGTCGAGAAGTACGGCTTCAAGGGTGCCCTGGTGAATGACACCCAACGCGCCGGTCCGGATGGCGATGATATGATCTTCTACGACCAGCCCAGCTGGGACATCTTCTGGCAGACATGCACGGAGCTCGACGTGCCTCTGTACCTGCACCCGCGCAACCCCACGGGGACAATCTACGAGAAACTTTGGGCAGACCGCAAGTGGCTCGTGGGGCCCCCGCTCAGCTTTGCGCACGGCGTCAGTCTTCACGTTCTGGGAATGGTTACCAACGGAGTCTTCGACCGGCACCCGAAATTGCAGATCATCATGGGGCATCTGGGCGAGCACGTTCCCTTCGACATGTGGCGCATCAACCACTGGTTTGAGGACCGGAAGAAGCTGCTGGGGCTGGCGGAGACGTGCAAGAAGACCATCCGCGAGTACTTTGCGCAGAACATCTGGATCACCACCTCGGGCCACTTCTCGACCACGACGTTGAACTTTTGTATGGCGGAGGTGGGCTCGGATCGCATTTTGTTCTCGATCGATTATCCGTTCGAGACGTTCGAGGATGCGTGCGTGTGGTTCGATAATGCAGAGTTGAACTTGGTGGACCGGGCGAAGATCGGACGGGAGAATGCGAAGAAGCTGTTCAAGCTGGGGGCTTATAAAGATTCGTCGGCGTGATGTCTTGTATTCAATTCGGACTTAACTTCTTTTCCTACTCTACCCTTAGATGAACGTAGGTCATGGTCAACAGTGTTCTTTACTTTTCGTGGCAGACTATCCTACCTCTGGCTGCGGTAGACTCTGTGCTTTTCTGGTGTCTCCCTAGCAGCTTGGATATTCTTTCTTGCTTTTTGACTATAATATCCTAAGGATTGATGGCATTCCGGAAGGTATAGTCTCTACTTTTTCCCTAATTCCGAAGATAGGTTGCTTCTCTACGGCCTAGTTTGGGCTTTCATTCATGGGTAGGTCAGCTACTCCAGATGCTCTGTGAGAGAACTTGTGAATGAGCATGGTCAGTTTAGTGAATGACTTGCACCCTCCAGGGCCGAAGTAGTTGATGGCGCGATAGTGTGTGTTTCAGCACCGTGTATACAAATACTCTGGTAGTGTTAATATTACTGTTTGTGCCAGACCCAGCCTTCACTTCCACTGTGAATACTACAATATTCTGTGACTCTTCCACTGCTCTCCTTCCACCTGAATACTGCCCTTTCTTCACTTGAAGAACAGAGAACTGGATCGAATTCTCGTCCCTATATCTCGTCCCTATATCTCTTCCCTCCAGTTCTTCTTCTTCTTCTTCCTCTTCTTCTTCTTCTTCTTCCTCTTCCTCTTCCTCCTCCACACCAACATCACCGTTCTCAGCAGAACAAGTCCAACTTCCACCTCAACCTGAACTAACCATCACCACGAGCCAGGAACATGGACTTCAACGTCCCAGCCCAGCTCTCCCACAACCTCTCTGCCTTCTCCCCGATCATCCCAAGCATAAACATCGAACGAGCCGAGCAACCCAGCACCACCGAGCCATTCCCCGACTACTTTACCTCGTGCGAACAAGCCGACTCGCGAGCCGACACAACCCAGGAGAAGGCCTACAAGTACGCCCTGTCGAAAGTGGTCGAGGCCGGGGCGCAGGCCCAGCGACTCGACGCGATGCTCACGTCCATGACGCTGTTCACCCCGGAATGGACATTCCCAGATCCCACCACAAGCTTCAGCAACGCACCTTCTACCAACAGCACAAGCAGCGGCAACAGAATCACCCCACCCCCCTCCCCCATCAGCGGGCCAACAACCCCCAAACTATCAACCTACCCAACTTGGCCCCTCCACTCAGACCTCGAGAACACCACCACAAACAAGCAAAACATCCTCGAAGAGATGCGCATCCTAACCAACAGCCCGACCCTCAGCCTCCCCCTCCGCAACCGCTTCATCACGATGTGCAACACGATCCTCAGCGCCCACACGCTGCTCTTCCGGCGCGTGCCCATCCCCGGCCGCCACCACCCGCTGGACTCCCTGACGCAGCCCCAGGTGCACCGCGCCCTCCACCTCGCCCACACGCTGGTCACCGATCTCGCCGCCCTGCACCACCTGCTGCACGGCCAGTACGAGCACTGCCGCGGCGCGCAGCAGACGATCGCGCATATCGCCGGGGATACGACCAACAAGAACCCCTTCACACGGTTCTGGGAGTTGGCGGGTATTGTTATCAAGTACGCTTGCCCTTGCCCTTGCCCCTGGCCCCTGGCCCAAAACCTCATCCCCCTCCCTCCCAGCCCAAGACAAGAAGCTAACAGAGGCAAAAGCACCCTCCCCACCCCGCACCCAACCGAACAACGCCTCCTCCTCATCCTCCTCGACCTCTACGACGCCTACCTCTACACGGACTACCACCGCCTCCGCCAGTGGCCGCAGATGCTGGCCGAGGGCCACGACCCGCTGCGCCTGCGCCTGACCAACGCCTTCTTCCGGGCCTGGGATCTGCTGACCCGCGCCCTGGAGTGCTACCAGGCCATCGCCGCCGTTCACGCCGATCTGATCAGAGATTACCTGCGGCCCGCGGGTGCGCTGCTGGGGCGCGACGTCGGCGGCCGCGTGCTCTTTGATCTGCGGGTTCGGGCGGCCGTGGCGAGGTGGCGCGGGCGGGCTTATCAGGAGGGATTGTGGGGGGATGAGCGTAACGATGAGGGGGATGAGGGGGAGGATGATTGTTGGAATCGGGCTGGTGGGCGCTGCGTGTTGCAGGATTTCTTTCAGTGGGATCCGGCGGTGGTGGGGGAGGGGGAGAGGGGTTATTATGGAGATGGGATGGGGGAGGAGGATAAGAGTTGGGGTTGGGGAGAGAGGGGGTAGTTCTCGGGGATTCGGGGCACGGGTTGTGCATGCAGGGGTCGTTCTTAGGGGGATGTGGTTTTAGGGGGAGCTAGGTTGTGCTCATTCGGTTTGGGGTGATGGGTTGAGGTTGGAGATCTGGAGTGGTGGTTCTAGGGCTTCTTCCAGCTTGAGGTGTTAGTGATTTGGGATACTTCGGGATAGTTGCAACATGTGGTTCATGCTTGAGGATAGTGCAGCGATACATCAAAAGAATAATAATATCATCTCTGCGATAGATCCTCTGAGTTGACTGTTGATTCTCTCAGGTTCTGATTTGGCGATGCTATGTTGCAATGCTGGACAGGACAGCACAGCGAATAGGTTCGACAAGAACATAGGAGTAGCACATGCTTTGGTTAGAGTGCTCCATGAACATATAACCAGAAATAGAACGAGGCCCTGCGGCGGCCATATAGCAGGCCCTAAAAAATAGCTTATGGGACGAACCTTTCACCTTATACTTGACCTTGCCAGTTATGCTGGAATATCAACCTAAAGCGACCTAAAGCGACCAAAGGTACAAACTCAAAAGTCCTACAACCTACATAAAGACAACTTGGAAAAGTAGATTAGATTGATAAGATTACCAATACGACTAAGCATGTACAGCACCCCGATCGAAAACGCCGTTGAGAACCGTAGCGCCTATTTGGATCGAGAGAAGTGCAGGCTGACCCTCCCTCCGGGCAAGTTTGACATAAGCGAGTGAGACGGGAAGGCAGTAGAACAAAACGTTCCGGCGCCAACCCAAGTCCACTCATCAAAACGAGCCTCGGAAGTTAACGAGGGTCGGTGGCATTCTGCGCACATCGACTAATTGACACCTCATAGAAGAAAAGGAGAGTGGCAACTTAAGTAGTGCGGGGAGGACGAATTTCGAATCACGGGGTTGGTTTACGATGGCTCCGGAAAGAGTCATGACAGATGGTGCGAGGCCCAGGCCCGGCGCTAATCGTCCTTCTTACTCTGATCCGTCGCCAGAGGCTCGGCTTCCTCCTCGTCGTCCGGTAAAGGAACATCCATCACACGCGCGCCAGCTGTCTCCAGGACTTTGCGACTCCAGGTCCGCACGCCTTTGTAGACAGCCTAAAACGAATCAGTCGCTGGGGTCAGTTGACACAGCTCGGGAGAGAAGCCACTCACCCACAAGAAGGTACCCACGCCGACGACAACGAGCAGCCAGCCGACTCGGTTCCTCCCGGTATTCCGGCCGGAGCTGCTGCCGTTGATCAGGCGCGTGGAACGCAGCGTCAGCCCGGGCCAGGAAGAGAACGCAAGAACGGACTTGATGCAGGACAGCAAGCCCAGAGTGACCACTCCCTTGAGATAGTGCTCAGGCCAGGAGCCCTTGTGGTCACCCGTCAGGATCCTGGTCTCCGGTGGCACGGGCCAGATATCCCGCATCTCGGTGGGTGCGAGGGGATCATCCGTGTCCGGGAGGATGTTGAAAAGGGGGTCAGCAACGAAACCAAGCAAGAATACAGTAAACAACAGAATGACGAGAGTCAACGCGAGCTGCATCACGGTGCTACTAATCCAGCGCGCTAAGCGGAGACGTTCTAGTCGGTAATGGAACCCGCAGGTCGGGCAGTGCCAATAATTGCGACGGCTGTAGGCTGCGTCCGAGTGCCGCCACAGTTCCAGGCATCCTTCGTGCACATAACGGGAGGATCCTTTGCATTTGCAGGGACGAAGCAATCGACCGGACTCCGGGTCCGACGATTCGTAGACAGGCCGTTGCTGGGGCTGCAGAAACCCCGGGATATGCTCCGAGGGAGGAGGGAAGGTGGGATAGACCGTTTCCAGGCAGATGCGACAAGTCCGGGGCGAGTAGTGCCGCTGTCTAGTCTCCTCTGTGGTATTGCCCGATTCCTCCTGTGGAGGGGCTTCTGTAGGGGGTTCCTGCTCGGTGTGATCCGACTGAGGCGGCGCAGCCGGCTCCGAGGGCCACTGCCAGAGCGGCTCATTGCGCAGATCCATTCTTTGTAGGTTGTTGCTGTTGCATAGTCTGAGAATTAACAGACCTACCAGCGATCTGACGCTTGTGATGCGATCGGTGTCGCAGTTATGATTGTTGCATGAAAAAGGTTAGACGGTTGAAAAGAAACAACGAGGAGAAATGTTTTGCGGGAAGGAAAAAAAGAGGCCAGTTTAAGAGAAGCGGGTGGGGAGGTCAAGCGCACTAGCGCACTAGCCGCTCGCCTACCGTCACCGCCCCAGGCGCGGCTTGGCAGGCGAACCAGCTCTGGCTGGTTGCTTGCTACTGCTGCGTCAACATCCTGCCGCCTGCTGTCCGAAGGGAAGCTTCACGTCAATCCAATCCCCTCCTCCACCACTTCCCAACTCCATCCCCATCATCCCCATCATCCTCAATCACCTCCGTCTATCCCCCCACACATATACCTATTATCCTCCGGAGCTTCTGGAGGTGAAGCATCGTCTCCATGGCTGATCGTTACTCTTTCTCTCTGACCACTTTCTCCCCCAGGTAAGCCAAGCTCTCCGCTACTCCATTTGCTAGTACCACAGCTAACAGTCGGGGGTGTAGTGGAAAGCTGGTCCAAATCGGTAACAACCTTTCGCCAGCTACTGTCGTTACCGGGTCACTGACAATGTCTAGAATATGCTCTGAACGCCGTCAACCAGGGTGTAACGGCCCTTGGCATCAAAGGTATGGTGGCCCCAGATCCGCCGCCGCTGGCAAACAGCTACAGCTACTTACTGTCTGCCTCGCCGGAACACAGCTACCAACGGAATCGTCCTGGCCACTGAGAAGAAGTCGTCGTCGCCTCTGATCGACCCCCCCTCCCTCTCCAAGATCTCCCTGATCACGCCCGACATCGGCATGGTCTACGCCGGCATGGGCCCGGACTACCGGGTGCTCGTCGACAAGGCCCGCAAGGTCTCGCACACCGGCTACAAGCGCATCTACAACGAATACCCGCCCACCCGTATATTAGTGCAGGACGTTGCCCGCGTCGTACAGGAGGCGACGCAGTCCGGGGGTGTCCGACCGTACGGCGTCAGCCTGCTGATTGCGGGCTGGGACGAGGGCATCGAGCCCGAGACCGGCGATGCCCAGCGCGGCGACGAGGGGGAGGACGAACCCAAGAAGGCGACCGGCAAGACGGGCGGCATCCTGAAGGGCGGCCCCAGTCTGTACCAGGTCGACCCCAGCGGCAGTTACTACCCGTGGAAAGCCACGGCCATCGGCAAGCACGCCACCAGCGCCAAGACCTTCCTCGAGAAGCGCTACACCGAGGGCCTGGAGCTCGAGGATGCCATTCACATTGCCCTCCTGACTTTGAAGGAGACCATTGAGGGCGAGATGAACGGGGACACGATAGAGATTGGTAGGGTTTAATTTCTTTGCTCCAGAGAAAGAAGGTTTCAAGCTGACGTTTTACCTACCAGGTATTGTTGGACCTCCTGCCGATCACTTGCTGGGCTTTGAGGGCGTCGAGGGCGCGCGGGGACCCCGGTTTAGGAAGTTGACCAAAGAGGAGATCGAGGACTATCTGACCAACCTATAAACTGCTCCGCCTTGTTACACGTTATTGGCGGGACCTTATAGCATAATAGACCTCTATCAAGTCTGGCAAGGTTTCCACAAGATGATCCTTTTAAAGAACAATGAACAAGGGCGACAGCCGGAAGACCCTGGGACAACGCAATTGATGAAATGTATGGGCGTGTGTCGACATCGCCAAGTAATGCCGCCATCTGGAAAAAGAATACCTAGTACTAAACTAGTCAATGAACGTGATTTGTGTTGAATTTGGTCGCGGGCCTTTCAGTGCCTATGTACCCAGTAGGGAGGGACCTTGCACCGTCCACGGTCTTCTGGGGGATCTCGGCAAGATATGCTACAGTACCATTGACCCAGGACGCGGAGTGACTGGAAGAGCTCTTCCCCCATGAGGTAAATGCAAGCAACGAGGAATATATGTGATGTTCACGTCTCCGCCCCTCGGGTCACTGCAGCAGAACCTAACCCAACCACGGCACTTCTTTAGGATGTCATCACCTGACAGACAAGCCTGTCTTGGAAGTTGACAAGATGATACTCCCAGTCTATAAGCCCCCGGGGAGGAGACATGACCTGCCCGTTGGCCCTGTCCCAAACCCTCAGCAAACCAATCACCCCCCACAAACGATTTCAGGAATGAATGCTAGGTCCGGCCCCTGGAACTAAAGCAGGAACAAGCGGAAAAGGTTGCGAGTCCCTAAAAGGAAAAAAAAAGGCCCCGAGTTTGGTTTGAAACGCGGTGGAAGCTGAGGGGTCCGATCCGGAGGGATGCCCGGAAAAGGGAAGGGAGTTTGTACCTGTACTACCCCAACAGCGTGGGGTGTGCTGTACTGGTACTTCGATTCGAAGTCCATTTCTGGTTTGGGTTATTGCCGTTTCTGTTGTTGTGGCTGAATGGGAAGTCCGAGATTCTGTTGTGGAAGGGTATGTATGGCTCGGCTGTTGCGGTTGATGCTGCGCAAAAAGATGGGATTGTGGTGTCTTGTACTTCAGCTGAGAAGCTCCAGCTCCAACTCCAGCCTAGAGCAGTAGTCCCCCTTGCCCCCTCTTCGCCCCTGCTTGTTGCCTATCGATGAGGGCCAGAGCATAAAATAAAAGCAGTCTAAATAACGCCACATCCACGAGGGTGGGAAGTGTAAAAAGGGACCCAGATTCCCAAAATTGGGGGATTAGAGTTGGGCATATGACGACTCTTCTCGCACTCGCACGCAACCGGTCTTGTGTGCATTGTATTGCTCTCAGTTCGATTTTGAATCGTTCGTTGTTTTGTTGTTGTTTGAAGAATCCCAGAAGTATCGATTCGTGTGTTGAAGGTTGTGGGGGAGATATGAACCCACATGTGTTTTGGGTCTTGGGAGATCAACGGATTTAAGGTATGGCTCGTGCACTCACCCACCCACCTGGTCCATCTTATCTCTTGTGGGTTGTGATTCTGGGGGCAGTAGGGCATGAAAGTATGATGTTGCTGCTGCTGCTGATGCTGATGCTGATCATATAATCTGTCCCATCCAGGCTAGTCCTAAGACATGCGCGACTGGGGCATGGAAGAGCCGATGGACGGGATCGCGGGCGAGCTCTCGACCCAACATGGGGGCCTGCGGTCGACGCTGCTCTTCTTCATGGCGGTGGCGTGGTACAACGTGATCGAGCTGGTGGTGCTGGTGCTGACGACGTTCCGGCGGTGGCGGGGGCTGTACTTCTGGAGCCTGCTGCTGTCGGGCGTGCTGGGGGTGGCGCCGTACACGGTAGGCTTTCTGCTGAAGTTCTTCACGCAGACGCCGGCGCGGGCCACCGTCACCGTGCTGACGGTGGGGTGGTGGACGATGGTGACGGGCCAGTCGCTGGTGCTGTACTCGCGGCTGCACCTGGTGCTGCGCGACGAGCGCATCCTCCGCCGCGTCCTCCTCATGATCCTCGCCAATGTTGTGGTCCTGCACGTCCCGACCACCGTGCTCACGTACGGCGCCAACCTGCTCCAGACCCCCGCCTGGCTGCGCGGCTACAACATCATCGAGAAGCTGCAGCTGACCGGGTTCACGGTGCAGGAGGTCGTCATCTCGTTGCTGTATATCTGGGAGACCGTCAAGCTGCTGCGCATGTGTGCCGCCCGCGAGAACCGCAAGATCATGCGCCAGCTCGTCGGGATCAATGTCGCCATGCTCGTTATGGATCTTGTGCTGCTCAGTCTCGAGTATGCGGATTATTACGCCGTGCAGATTAGCTTGAAGGGCGCCGTGTATAGTATTAAGTTGAAGTTGGAGTTTGCTGTGTTGGGGAGGTTGGTCGCGGTCGTGCATAATCCGTGTCCGCCAGCGCCGATTGACGGGGATATGCAGCTGAGTCGCTATGCTGGCGGGGGAGGGCAGGGGGACGACGGGGACGATGGCCATGGTGACTCGCGAGGCGCGATGGTCGCCGTGCAGCGGGCGCCGTTGTGCGTGACGGGGGAGAGGACGCATCGTCATCTCGCGTTGAATGAGGTGAACGTCTCGATGAAGTGGAAGGATCGCACGGACTTGGAGAAGGGTGATTGCGAGTCGGAGGTGAGGTAATGACTTGATATGACGGTTATGAATTCATGTGTGCATGTGTCTATGTGTGTGTATCTAATTTCCAGCTTCTAACTCCGCATCACGATGCCAGGATAGTGAGCAATTGATACAGGTCAGAGTCCAGTCACAGTCGGAAGACTTCTCGAAAAGAGCCCTGTACAAGGAGGTGAGGGTGATCAATTCCCATCCAGCGACCCAGCATCGGCCTCATCGCCTCCAATCCACTCGAATTCTCCCTCGGAGTCCTCTTCATCCTGGCTGTCGGCGATCTCTTCCGCTTTGCGCTTCCGTTGGCAGGCCGAGGCTTCAGCTTCCTGGGTAGAGCTTGCTTCCACGACGATCTGCTCTGGTTGTTCGTCTTTGTCTTCGGCTGCTGGAGGGGAAGAAGTATCCAAAGCGTGCAGCCCATCCTAACAACGAACCAGTTAGCCTTGCTTTCATCCCAACACACTCCCCAGAACGAAACATCGAGAACAGAAGGAAGGCAAAACGAACCTCCCTCACCCCAAACCCAACCACAGTATCCCCCACCACCCGCCCGCGAACCACCCTCCCTCCCCTCTTCATCACCTCGACTACCCTCCCCTTTCTCCATCCCCCTTCTCCCTCCCTCCCCGACTCAACGAAATCCTGATAGACCACCACCCGTGTAAACACACAACTCTCCCAGGCCGCCGACCCTGCCACCACAGGACACAGCGTCGCCCGCACCTGGCCCCGAATCCGGGTGTGGGTCTGGTTCGTCACCAGGACAGCCATCGTTCCTGCGCCTCCGCCGGCCGTACTAGCCAGCTTGGCCAGCTGCGTCGCCAGATCACCCAGCACGTTCCATTTGCGGTTGACCAGCCACTGGATGTGGGCTTTGTCATGCACCTGCAAGGAGGCGCTCAGGGCGGCGCGTTGGTCGCTCGGGTTGGGGAAGTACGGGGGGAAGGGGGCGGAGATAGAGTCGACGACTAAAAGGGTGGTGGACGGTGGGGGGAAGTTGGGGGGTGGGTGGTGGATGAGGGAGAGGAGATGTGGGAGGGTTGGGGTGTGGATATGGATGAGATTTTGGGCGTGGATGCGAGGGTCGGATTGGTTTTGTTGCTGCTGTGCAGCGAGAAGGCGGCTGAGTTGGCGGCGGGGGAGTGGGGGGCCCGTGTCTGATATTGAGGTTTAGTTTGGGGGCGTGGTGCAGTAGGTAGTATAGAGAGGGGTAGGGGCTCGCCTACCTATCCAGACGACCTTTTCGCCCTTGGCTAAGGCTGTTGCTGCGGTGTTTAGGCTGCGGGGATGTGTTGGTTACTGAAGGGGTAGATGTTGCGGGAGGAAGGAAAGAAGACAAACGCTATGGCGGTCTTGCCTGCGCCCGGGGGCCCGAAAATCTCCGTGACATGACCACACGGTAGGCCCTTGCTCTGCAGATTCCCGAAGTCTTGAAGATCATCTTCGATGGGCGGGGCGACTGCCTCGTCAAGCTGGGGGAGACCCGTCGAAACGGTCTTGTTGCCTAAGGCAGCCGACGCGGTCGACGCGTGCAGGGACTGCGAGGCCGGGAAGGAGATGACTCGGTCTAGGGGTGTTAGCTGCTTGTTATCTGTGATCAGATATTGAGATGTGATTTATACTCACTGGGATCCTGGCTGGGAAGGCCCAGAAAGTCGAGTCTATTCATGATGAGTAGATAGATGAGATGGTTCAATGGAATTAAGGGTCACGCGTCGCCCGCGCGTCTCGGCTTGTTCACATTCAGCGGGATATGAGGATCTTCTGATTACGTGCTGGATTGAGGCTGTGATGCTGTCATGCTTGAGCTATCACTTGAGCATCAGAACGAGGTTCTGGACTGTTGCCTTGACAGTTAACAGTTGACGGTGCTCAGAAGACCTGCCGTAGTCCAGTCCAGTCCATCCCGCATCGGCATTGGAAGATGTTCTGGAAGCTCGGGAACGAGCCGAGATCCGATCTCGCCCCGATCTGATAAAAATCGGCCCCGCGGAGGACTTACACTTTTTTGAATCACGTCGATAATCTAGTGGTTGTATAACTCGATGATCTTGCATTCCGGGACTGCATTAACACTACATCCAAATCTACATCTCACCGACCCCATCCTCGTCATAAGTTCAAGCAGAAGACCCAAAACCACCACCATCAATGTATGACTCAAATCTCACCACGCTCGATGCATCAGACAATGGTGCATCCTCACTCCAACCCCTCCTCCCCTACATCATCGCACTCATCGTCCTCCTCCTCCCACTGACACCCTACCTCCGCTCCTCCCCCAAACCCCCACGCGGCTGTCGCCGCCTCGGCACCAAGAAGAGCAACATCACCGACGAATACGACCCGCAATACAGCGCAGGCACCCCCAGCGACGCCATCGACCCCAAGACCGGCCTGCCCGCATGGCGCATCAAAGCGCTCTTCACCTACCCGATCAAGAGCTGCACGGGGGTCGAGCTCGACAGCGCGGAGGTGATCGACACCGGGCTGAAGTACGACCGGCTCTTCTGCTTTGCCGAATACATCGAGGCGAAGCAGCCAATCCCTCCTGCCACCACCACCACCACCTCCACCACCTCATCAGTCAATGCCCACGACAAGCAGAGCAAGGAAACCGGACACTGGACCGCGCGCACCCTCCGCGACCGCCACTTCTGCAACCTGGCCCTCCTGCGTCCCGAGATCTGGGTCCCCGATCCCACCTCCCCAACGTACTCCCCGTCCCTCCCAGAGATCAAATCCCAGGGCGTGCTGGTCATCCACTACCCGCGCACACTGCCCGCCCGCCTCGCCCGCCTACCCCTCCTCCCCGCGCTCGTCAGACTAGCTCTCACGCTGGGCCTGATCCCCCGCGAAGAGTCCTTCCGCGTGCCCCTTGACCCCCCCAACCCCGATTCCCCCTCCGATCCCAAGACTTCAGAGGAGAAATACCCCCTCCGCCCCATCAAAATCTGGAAAGACACCCCGCTCGCCCACGACTACGGGCACCACCTGCCCGCCTCGCTGCGCCGCTTCCTCGCCGATCCAACCACCGACGCACAAAAGCCCCTCACCCTCTTCCGCGAGTCCGCCGCCCACCACCGCCAGATCTTCCGGAACGCGCCCCCGAAAGAGCCGCTGGGCTTCCAGCCCGTCACCGGCTTTCAGGACGCGTACCCGCTGCATCTGCTCAATCTGGCCAGCGTGCGCGATGTGGCGCGCCGGGTTCGGACGGAGATTCCCCGGTTGACGGTGCGGCGGTTCCGCGCGAACGTGGTCGTGCAGGGGCCGGGGCGGTTTGAGGAGGATGCGTGGCGGCGGGTTCGCGTGGGCGGGGGCGTGTCTTCTTCTAAGGGGGAGGGGGAGGAGGCACAGGCTGGGGACGAAGGGGCCGGGGTGGAGATCCATCTGGCGTGTCGGACGATGCGGTGTCGGTTGCCGAATGTCGATCCGGATACCGGGGTGCGCCATCGCGCGGAGCCGGATCGTACGCTGAAGGGGTATCGACGGATTGATCGTGGGGATCCTACGAATGCGTGCTTGGGGATGCAGTTGGTTCCGGCGGTTCGGAGTAAGTTTTTTCTCTTTCCTATACGGGGTTGGGGGGGGGGGGGGGGTCTGTGCTAACGACTGTCTAGACTTCACGCTTCGCGTCAATGATCCCATCACGGTCCTCGAGACGGGTGAGCATTGCTATATCAAGATGTTGGCGCCTGGGGAAGTGGTGGAAGGAGTGTGATGGAACCTTACAGTGGCTGGCGATGGGCTCTATCAGAATATGTATATCATTGCATTAATTAATCCCGTATAATCCAACCTATCGCTCATCAAGGGTATCCCAATCCATCAATCTGCCCTCGCAAGGGTCGTAGTCAATCTAAAACAAAGCAAACAGAATTTTTCTTAAAGTCATACAGCTGAAACTCCAGACGGATGCTCCCCCTTCGTGTACTGAGCATTCTCAGGCTCGTCCGGCTGTTCGACAGCCCGAGGTTCGGCTCTAGCCTCGACAATAGCCGCCCCCTCATCCGCCTCTTCGGGAATGATGAGGTTCAAGATCACCCCCAGAAGGGCGGTGATAGCGAACCCGTTGTTCATGACCAAGTCAATCGCATCGAGCAGACCGGTCAGGCCGCGGTTGTTGCCGCTGTAGGTGAAGAAGTAGGAGAACCAGGTGGGCACCAAGGTGACACCCATGCCGATGGAAAAGGAGGCCGTCAAGACAAAGCGGTTGCGCCGCGTGAACGGCACAGTCGCGATGATGCGGACCCCAGAGATGGCCACGGAGGAGAAGAGGAACGTGGTCATCCCACCCAGCACAGCGCTGGGGATGGAGGTGAGGGCGGCGGCAAACTTCGCAAAGATGCCCATGATGACCAAGAAGAAACAGCAGCAGTAGCCAGCCTTGCGGTTGGCGCACTTGGTCAAAGCAATGACACCGTTGTTCTGAGCAAACACAGACATAGGGGTGATCGTGCACAGTCCGGCCAGCAGACAGGTGAATCCGTTACCCAAAACACCACCCTGCACGCGGGAGTCAAAGGCTGGTCCCTCCACCTCTACCTGTGATACATCACAGGTGGCGGTAATATCTCCGATCGACTCCATCATGACCACGATGTACACGGCCAGCAGGGGTAGGATCAGAGGTGCGTAGATGGTCAGAGGGAAGGTGCGGACCCAGATGAATGAGGCCACCGGGGCAGCATCGATGCTCGACCGATCGAAGTATCCGCAAGCGGCAGCAATGATGCAGCCAACGAGCAGGCCGATGATAACAGCGCAGGACTTCATCATTGGAGCGCCGAATCGTTCGCACAGGATAATCGTCACAAAGACCGAAAAGCCGAGTCCAATGAACTCGGGGCTACCCCAAGGGAGAGCATGTGGCGAGTCTGCACTGGGGCACAGTGCACGGCTGGCTGCATCCGTAAAACAGGTTCCTGAGCCACCGGCCCAGTCCTCCATACTCGACTGAATAAGACTGGCTCCAATCAACAAAATCGTGGGACCGGTCACCAAGGGCGGGAAAATGCGTTTCAGGATCCGAGGGCTCATGAACGACAAGCCGATTTCGAGCAAGGAACACAGACACGACGTGCCCAGAAGAGCCCCATAGCCCTTCGGACAAGGCAGGCGGTTCCCATCGCTATCTACCGGACAGTACCCCGACGTGTACATTTGGTTGAACGTGCCGGACGACACCGTGATGGTAGCGAACGAGGTGCCAACAACAGAGATCAACCCAGTTCCGACATAGAAGCGAGTTTTATAGATGTGAAACCGGGCCATCTGTACGGCGGACAGTAGACCGGAGACGATAAGTGAAGTTGAAACTAGGTATTCGTAGTCTTTCGTGCCGAAGTTGGCACCACTCGTGCCACCGATCAGGATAGGAGGTGAGATAACTATTGAAGTCAGCAACGGGTTGTGATTCCAGGAACCTGTTCAACGAACCTCCACCCAGCATTGCCAGCGCATGTTGTAAACCCAAGAGGAGAGCCAAAAGAACGGGTACGTTGTCCTCCAGTCCGAAGAAGGGAGCGGACTTGCGGCCCCTGTTGATGAAGGGAAGGTTGGGGGTGAAAAGGTATGCATAATCGTAGTCACCGACCAGTCCCTCTCTACAAGCTACTTGTTAGTATAGAAGAACGGGCGCTATCATGACTCGACCTGCCACACATACCTGGTGGTGAATGTCTTGACAATGCGCCGGGTCTTCTCCCGCCAGGACCGTTTCGGTCGCAAGTCGGGCCCGATCTGATCAGGTCCGTCCATGCTGAGTGATACTTGGAAAGGGATACAAGGTAGGTGGAGACGGCGGGTAGTATATATAACGATAGATAGAATTGCCGAGTTGGACTGTGGTCTAGACAAGCTCTCAACTCGTGGAATGGATCTGGGGGGTTCTAGCTTGAGATCACCCCAGAACTGTCCGAAACATTTGATGTCTATATAGATGGCAGCTTCATTACAGGCTTCCGAAGTAAATTCGTGTGATCTCAGCGATCGGGTGCAAAGGATGATAGGAGACTATCGGTGGCGTGGAGGTGCGTGAATCAATCGAATAATGCCTTGGACCGGTTATCTCTAGGCTCTCCACGACTGGGAGGCGACCGACTGGAGACTGGGGAGATACCCAAGCGAGAGCACTAGACTGGAGTCTTGGGTGGTCATGGCGGTCATGGTGGGGTCCCGCGCGATAAGACTCAAGCTCGCTGACTGTCAGTTCATGTAACGCCTCTTGCCGGCTTATCAGTTCTTCCCCCAGATCGGGATCCGCCGACATCCATCGTCGGTGGCGGAGCTTCGTCGGGGGCTATCTGGCTGTATAGATCGAGTTGAGTGCGAACACCAGTTCCTCGATTCCCATGATGGCGAACTGTCTGGGGTTGAGCTGTTTCTTTCAAGCTAGAGATGAGATATGAGGAAGAAGTACAGGAGTTGGTAGTATGGATAATGATGGTCGAATTGAGCATGGGTCGTACAGTCCGGGGAAGAACCAGAACCGATCGGGCAATCCATTAGTCACAGAAAGTGGCCATTCGAGGACACGGGGAAATGTCAGCCCGGATTCCGTCAACTGGTGTCAACCGACGTCAACTCTATCACAACCACGCTGACTCCGGCTTTTGACTAACTTGATCTACTACTGTAGTGAGTTAAAGCAACAGTCATTCCACTTCCTGACCGCACCTCGTCCGTTGCACAGAATGCGCACGGTGGTACAACTACCAAACAACTGAGATACCAGGTGATATCCGGAGTAGCCGCCCGCCAATGACTTGTCCTACCTGCCAACAGGATCAAGCCTGACATAAAATATGCACAGCATAGTGCTGGATGACGCGAAGCAACGGCTTAGATGTGACATCGACGGTATTGATTCCAGGAATCATCAATTGGCCATGACTATATAGGATTGAGGCAAGCGGCCGACTTGAGAACGCATTTGGAATGTCTTTGTCAACCGTATCATGACCTCAGGACATCCTACCGTAAAACTTATATTTGTGCTCGTGCATCTGGACATCAAGTGACCGCTTCGATCTATGCATTCCGGGCTTCTATGCCTGAGGCAGGGGTAGGACGAGGTGGGCACCATCGAAATGTCTGGGGTACGAGACTAGTCCAACATCTGTGCTTCCATTCCCTACATGAGACATGCTCGATGAGGAAAAGGCCTCCACCTGGGGTATTGCGGAGGTCACTCCTAGGTAAGAGCTTGTAGAACTACTGTGCAAGTGCGATGTTTGAGGATGGCATCACGTGTGGACACGGAGCGGAGGGTTGGGGTGTGGTCGGCCGAGCCTGAGCGGGTCATGTTGGGAGGGATTGTGATTCTGCCTGAATCATATGGCGACGATCAGCTACGAGGTTGACCCGAGGTGAAAGCTAGCCTGGATCATCATTTGACTTTCCGTAGTGGCAAATTGGACGAAAACTCATGGTTGCCGTCCATAGGGCTGCATCGGCTGCTTTCCTGGGAATTCCAGAACTCCTCGCCCGGCCCCAAATACATTGATTGCATTTGCCTTGGTTTACCACATCCATCCAAGTGCGAATAACCCCGGAGTTGCTTCCCTCCGTCAGCCCACGTGTAGAATACTAGACAGAGATTGATAACGAATCAGCCGGAGAGCTGGTGTGCAGCAGCGGAGAAAAGAGCCACTGGATGGCAAATGGAGTCAATGGACGGGCCTTCAATTGCCACACACCAGCCACGAAGCGAGGCGGTGATCAGCCACAGCCGCCTGCCAGAGCAGAAAAACGTTGGGGATTCAACAGATACTGTACGCCTGCTGATTGGCGGGACTCAGCCGGGGTTGCCGAAACGGGCAGAGTCTGGCCGGGGCTGGTCTGTCGAATCACGCCTCGCCCAACAAGCTTAGATGGTGGAAGAACGGGTGTTTTGTATGGTTGGAACTCTGTTGGAAGATCCCTCCCGACCCGGGAGCTGTACTTCTCTGCAGTGCCTGTACACTCACCACTTCACCACCTAAACCTTCAATGCAAGTGTATTATTCTTTCATATCCCGTTCCATCCCTCCATCCTACAAGCACGGTGTTGCATTTGGCTTTGAACAAATACCTCGGGATCTTTTTACTTGCCCCCCCGGGCACAGTCATCCAGCAGTCAGACCACTCACCACTCACCTGTGATCAAATCACTTTCCGGATTCTCTCATTGCCGCATCATCCATCCTCGCCGCCAACCTTGCGTTTCCCCAACCATCATCCCGCCAGTGGACCCTGGGTCGAGTTCCAACTCCGTCCGATTTTTCCCCCTCCCCTCTGGGATTTGTTCAGATCCTTCATTCCTTTGCTGACTCCTCTCTTGCCTTCTGGATTGGATTATATTCCCCACCCTCTCCTTGCCTCATTCTTTTTTCTTCCCTTCTTTTATTCTTTGGGTCTCTTTTTCAATTCTTCCCTTTCTTAAAACCTCCCTCCCCCGGATCCCTCCATCCGCCTCGACCACTTCGTCTTCCACCACCCTCCACATACTCACCTTGTAGAGGGTAGACGAGTGACAAACATCATCCAAAATGTCTGCAAAGCCAGCGGACGCTTCCCGGTCTCGTGCCACGGACCCCAAGAAAGTTCACATCGCCGACACCGCGATCAACCGCCAGAACTGGTACAAGCATGTCAACTGGCTCAACGTCTTCCTCATCATTGGCATCCCCCTGGCTGGCTGTATCCAAGCTTTCTGGACGCCTCTTCAGCTGAAGACTGCCATCTGGGCCGTCATCTATTACTTCTTCACCGGTCTGGGCATCACTGCAGGTTCGTACTTCTCTCGATTTTCTTCGTCGGGAGCAAGAGGCTAACGGTAGCTCGACATAGGATACCATCGTCTGTGGGCCCACTGCTCCTACTCCGCTCGTCTTCCTCTTCGCATCTGGCTCGCTGCCGTCGGCGGTGGTGCTGTTGAAGGTTCCATCCGCTGGTGGGCTCGTGACCACCGTGCTCACCACCGTTATACCGACACCGACAAGGACCCCTACTCCGTTCGCAAGGGTCTGCTTTACTCTCACCTGGGATGGATGGTGATGAAGCAGAACCCCAAACGCATCGGCCGTACCGATATCTCCGACCTGAACGAAGACCCCGTTGTCGTCTGGCAGCACCGCAACTACCTCAAGGTCGTTTTCGGCATGGGCTTGGCTGTTCCCATGCTCGTTGCTGGCCTTGGCTGGGGTGACTGGTTGGGCGGCTTTGTTTACGCCGGTATTCTGCGTATCTTCTTCGTCCAGCAGGCCACTTTCTGCGTTAACTCGCTCGCCCACTGGCTCGGTGACCAGCCCTTCGACGACCGCAACTCTCCTCGTGACCACGTCATTACTGCTTTTGTCACTCTGGGTGAGGGTTACCACAACTTCCACCACGAGTTCCCCTCCGACTACCGCAACGCTATCGAGTGGCACCAGTACGACCCCACCAAGTGGAGCATCTGGATCTGGAAGCAGCTTGGTCTCGCCTACGACCTCAAGCAGTTCCGCGCCAACGAAATCGAGAAGGGCCGTGTCCAGCAGCTCCAGAAGAAGATTGACCAGAAGCGCGCCAGACTCGACTGGGGTACTCCTCTCGACCAGCTTCCCGTCATGGAGTGGGATGACTATGTTGAGCAGGCCAAGAACGGCCGTGGCCTCGTTGCTATTGCCGGTGTTGTTCACGACGTGACCGACTTCATCAAGGACCACCCCGGTGGCAAGGCCATGATTAACTCCGGTCTTGGCAAGGACGCCACCGCCATGTTCAACGGTGGTATTTACTACCACTCCAACGCTGCCCACAACCTGCTCTCTACCATGCGGGTTGGTGTCATCCGTGGTGGATGCGAGGTTGAGATCTGGAAGCGTGCTCAGAAGGAGGGCGTCGAGTATGTCCGCGATGGCTCCGGCCAGCGGGTCATCCGCGCTGGTGAGCAGGTGACCAAGATCCCCGAGCCTATCCCTACCGCCGATGCGGCATAAAAGACTCGTTCATGACTACTATCTATCATGAATGTACAATTTTCGTCCTGTTTCCGCCTCTGGCGATGTCTCCTGTCTTATAATTTAGCACACAGGGCGTTTGATGATATTTCGAGTGTTGGGAGTTTCCGGAGTTAGCCTTGACTTGTTTTTTCTTTTTTACCCCGCAGACAGAGCGTGTCTAGTTTGATGAGTGGCTTGCGCATTTGAAAAGCGACATGATATGATCGAAACTCCACAATGCTTGTTAAGAATAGAGCAATGAAGATATCCACATCAAAGTTTGGTTCTTGTAAGCTTAGCTTGTTTGTAAGGTAACTGGGTTGCCAACCCCGCACAGTCTGAGAGCGGGTGCATGCAGGGTATTCTGTAGCTGTTCGTCAGCTTGGTAGTGCAGTAGATCAGCAGGTATAGCAGTGTAGAATTTGGACTGGTGAAACCTGGGTGAAACTTGAAGGGCAACTGAGGGTGGATTGTGGACTGGCAGGCTGTGGAGAAAGAAAGAGAGGTTGTGTGGGTTTTTGTTGTGGTGCGGACACTGCAGTGGTGGGGATCCACCTGACCTGACCTGATCGAGGTTCAACTGGCAACAACAGCTTGCCTCACGGCCGTTCATTGTCTTGCATCACAACTGCATAGCCACGTATTATCCCCCGCCCCCTCCCTCTCACTCAGTTTGCCTATTCGCCATCCTTCACCATTGCTACCCCTCAATTCCGTCGGACCTTTTATCTACCCGCCCTCCTCGTCCTTCTCGTGGGCGTTTTCCTCGTCACCGTGGCTCCTCCGCTTCGCATTTCCTCCCCCACCTTTCGACTCACTTCAGTCCTGGGCCATTTCCGTGGCTCTCGACTGCCCACTGCACTCAATCCAGGGTTGACGAACCTCCGCAAATCTCTCACCACCGCCAGCATGGCCCCCGAGCACCTCCGCCGACCTCCTCAGGCTCCTCCCGTCTTCACGGCCACCGCCCAGTCCATCCTCGACGACGCCAACCGGCTCATTGCCAGCTCCCGCAAGATCCAGGACGATGTCGTCGCCACCGTCAAGCCCGAGTCGGCCACCTTCGACGCCGTCGTGAAGCGCCTGGCCCACGATGAGAACGCTATTGCGCTGGAATCCCACATCCTCGGCTTCTACCAAGCGGTGTCGACCGAGCAGGAGCTGCGGGACGCCTCGTCCAAGGCCGAAGCGCTGATGGACGAGTTCTTCATTGAGGCCGTCATGCGTGAGGACGTGTTCACGCTCGTCGACGCCGTGCTGAAGAAGGACGAGTCGCTGGATCCGGAGTCCCGCCGGCTGCTGGAGAAGGAGCACAAGAGCTACATCCGCAACGGCCTGGGTCTGCCGGCCGGCCCGCAGCGGGACCGCTTCAAGGAGATCAAGAAGCGGCTGAGCCAGATCAGCATCGAGTTCCAGAAGAACCTCAACGAGGAGAGCGGGGGCATCTGGTTCACCCCGGAGCAGCTGGACGGGGTCCCCGAGGATGTCCTGTCCGGCCTGAAGAAAGGCGAGGGCGAGCATGAGGGCAAGCTCTGGCTGACCTTCAAGTACCCGGACCTCTTCCCCACCATGAAGTACGCTAAGAACGCGGAAACCCGCAAGCAGGTCACCATCGAGAACGAGAACAAGTGCAATCAGAACGTGCCCCTCTTCCAGGAGGCCATCATCCTGCGGGACGAGGCGGCCCGCCTGCTCGGATACCCCAACCACGCCGCATTCCGCATCGAGGACAAGATGGCTAAGACGCCCAAGACCGTGAACGACTTCCTGGGCGACCTGCGCTCCCGCCTCACGGCCGGGGGCCAGAAGGAGCTCAAGACCCTCCTGGAGCTGAAGGAGAAGGACGTCGAGTCCCGTGGAGAGAAGTTCGACGGCCACTACTACCTGTGGGACAACCGCTTCTACGACCGTCTCTTGCTGGAGCAGGAGTACTCGCTCGACCAGCAGCTCATCGCGGAGTACTTCCCCCTGCAGACCACCATCGAGGGCATGCTCAAGATCTTCGAGGAGCTGTTCGGCCTTGTCTTTGTGGAAATCACGGGCGAAGACCGCGAGAAGGTGGCTCCCACGGGCAAGGGCAGCGACATTGTCTGGCACGAGGAAGTCCAGATCTTTAGTGTTTGGAACGACGAATCCGAAGGCAGCGGGTTTGTGGGCTACCTCTACCTGGACCTGTTCCCCCGTACCGGAAAGTACGGCCATGCCGCCAACTTCAACCTGCAGCCGGTATGTTTTAACGCCGTATGCCTCCCAAAATGAGCACCACTAACAGAACCGCAAGGGATTCATCGACGCCGACGGCAACCGCCGCTACCCGGCGACCGCGCTGGTGTGCAACTTCACCAAGCCCACCCCCAAGAAGCCGAGTCTGCTGAAGCACGACGAGGTCGTGACGCTCTTCCACGAGCTGGGCCACGGCATCCACGACCTGGTGTCGAAGACCATTTACTCGCGCTTCCACGGCACGAGCACCGTGCGCGACTTCGTCGAGGCCCCCAGCCAGATGCTGGAGAACTGGTGCTGGACGCCCTCGCAGCTGAAGTCCCTCAGCCGGCACTACTCGACCCTGTCGCCGGAGTACCTGGCTGCGTGGAAGGAGCAGGCCGACGGCAAGACCCCGCCCGCCGAGAACATCCCGGACGAGGTCATCGCGAACCTCATCCGCACCAAGCACGTCAACGACGCCCTCTTCAACCTGCGCCAGCTGCACTTCGGCATCTTCGACATGACCGTCCATCAGCCCGAGAGCCACGAGCACATCAAGAACCTGCCCATCTCTGCCACCTACAACCGCCTGCGCCACGAGATCACCCAGATCGAGGGGCCCGAGAGTTTGGGGCTCGGCGAGGAATGGGGCCACGGTGAGGCCACCTTTGGTCATTTGATCGGTGGGTATGATGCGGGATACTATGGCTATCTGAGGTAAGCTCGTTCTGTTCTCTCGTTCTTTGCCACAATGCTAATCCCAATCCAGCTCGCAAGTCTACTCCACCGATATGTTCTACACCGTCTTCAAGGAGAGCCCCATGAACCCCGAGGCCGGCCGTCGCTACCGCTTCAAGGTCCTGGAGAAGGGCGGCAGTCAGGATGAGATGTCCATCTTGACGGACTTCCTGGGCCGCCCACCTAAGACTGATGCCTTTTACAAGGATATGGGGTTGGCTTGAGTGGTTCGGGGGTGAGTTGTTAATTATGAGTTGAATGAATGAGATATACAAGATATATACCAGTGGAAATCAATGGATAATTGCCTATGAATATCGGATGAAGAAGGGATGTAAACGTAGCTAGTTCTTTGTATTGGAAGAATGATGGGTTCAACGTCGCTTTTGCCCTTGATAGGTTCTTATCGAGGCACGTGAGAAGGCCCTCGGAAATCGTCAAAGATCGAGAGGTTTCTGCGGCCGGCCAGAATAGCAGCTCCCAGCGCGCCCCCCCCAAGGCCCGCGCATCCGGCGTGGCACTGGTCGATGCGAGTAGTAAAGTGGTAGCACCGATTTTCAACCTTCTTCAGCCGCTGTGGCAAGGTCGTCGATACTTCAAACTGCCCGGATGGCTTGAGTGTCTGGAGTATCTCGGCTAGGGAAAGCAATAGACGACTATCATGCCAAGCCAATACAGCAGCACAAGCGGTATGATCGAAGGGTTGGAGAATGCCAATATATCTCCAGATGCAGAAGCCCTTGCCGACAGGGCACATATGGGGGTGGGGCCTTCATTCTCCGACTCCGTCCCTTGGTACCAAACGAGCATTTGTCCTTCGTGAGGCAATGCACTTCCTTCGCATAAGACGCTCTGCAGAGGACCGGGTCGATTTCGCCCCGTAGTGCTTTTTTTCGTCGCACAGCCGATAATGTTTGATATGATCTGACAATGTATATCCAGAGACGCTGAATCCAGACGTCTGATGACTCCACCGTAAGCGGGTCAAGACTACTTGGGAGTTGGCGTAATAGTTGCCCGTCGATGCAGGTGCGAAGGAATCGTGGAATGCACTTCTCAGTAGGGTCCAACGCCATAGGACGAAAGGCAGAAACATACACCAACAGTCCGGAGCCGTCACACGTCCTGTTGGCTGAGCACGGTTGTAGATACTCTCAACTGCCGTACAATATTACAGGTTGCTAGCACATGCACCTGCCATGCATCATTGTTCTGCGCTGGCGGGTAAGTGTGCGACGCGTACAGGGCCAGGATCAATATTGAGGGGGCATATCTGCTGCACCGCAGGCTCGTGCTGCTGCGGACTTCGCTGGGTGAGTTGCATCGTCATGTCGGTCGTTGGCGACATGAATCAGGGTTAAAGCAGCGAGTGACCTGTAGACGATGGGCGACTGGTCTTCCAAGAAAGAGGAAAAGTTCTCGGCCCAGTTGACAGGTGATTGATAAGGGCCTGTATCCGGGGTCTTCGGTGAGAGGTAGTCGTCGAGAAAATGAGCGATCAGCTATATTTGACCCTGGTAAACGACCAATGATTGCTGACCGCACTCGAGGGTGATATATGCAGGATGTGCAGTATGTTTAGTATGTGTTCTGTGACCTATCGTAGCACTGCTGCCGCCCTATGGCATTACCCCCTTGTCAGCAGACGTTATGTGACAAGCAGGGTAAACCTTACATCCGCGAGTACCTTCCACAAATCACGTTTGAATATTGGCACCGAGTGCATCTGGGTCGGGGTTTGTCACACTGGATCGGAGTGGGCCTTTGGTGGAGAATCCGGGGTAACGTCAACAGCCGAGTAGTGGAGCAGTATAAGCTCACCTTGACCTTTCTTGCCAGACACGTCCGACAGCTTTGAGCACGTCAGGACGCTTCTGCCCATCCTAGCTCAGTATCCCTTTCAGTCACATTCAGGTCAGTTGAATCATCGCTGCCAGAGGTGATACCTTCTTGAAGCGAAGGTGGAGAGGAGAAGTGGTTCCCGACTAGTAGGCAATGCCGGACGGAAGAATATCGCCCCGGGTATGTATACTTCACTTCAGCACTCATAAATGATAGTTCATTGTTACTGTAATGACCAAGGATGCGAAACGAAAAGCGCACATGTGTTTCCCTGGTGCGCAAGTACAACAACCTTCCGCTTAGGGAGGTCCCCACTATCAAGGATAATAAATCAAACTGATTGCCATCTGTTATGGCATCAAAACAGCCAGCATCGGACTTCCTTCCTGCTGTTCTTGGTAGATTCACCGATCCTAGACTGGTATTAGATCCACAGCTATGCTATCCGGAGGTGAGGATTTGGGATAAGGTACTTACCCATTTAGCCAAGAGTTGAGGGGGCAGTATTGGCCTCGGTATATAAACCGCTATCCTCATATATCCCACTGATTTTGTCGGCCGTGCGAGCCACTCCCTTCATCGATCTCAAGCGCTTTGTCACGGCTTGAGACTCCTGCATATAGAAATCCTAGCCCGCGAGACCTTGAGAGTGCTGCCTTTACTTTTCTACAATAATCTATAGATTAGAAATGATATTACTAGATGACTTTGATACTCAGAAATCCTTGGTGTGAATTTTTTATCTTAAAAAAAAAAAAAAAAAAACTACTCCAGGAGGGGCTGACCCGCCTCCTCCGCCTCCTTACAAATAGTACGCATAAAGTTTGTCAATTTGATCGCGCGCCTCTCCGGCCGCCTTTTTGGCGACCTCAACGCGCTCGTCTGCGGCTCTGGCCGCATCAACGGCACGACCAACTTGCTTCCGAAGGAGCTTGTAAGCCCCTTTGGCTGGTATGAGGCGCTCCCTCAGCTCATTCATATGGGCCTCCTGGCCCTGGGTCAGCCTGCGCTTTTCATACACAGAGCCCTCTTCCTCTTCGAAAATATCATCGGGGGCATCCTGACCCCAAACCAGGAGCTCCACCTGCACAATCAACGAGAGCCTGTATAAACAGGCTTTTCATAGTGAGCGATACGCTCTCGGCATAATAACCGTATGCGCGAGAAATTGGTCTTCGGACTCGCCCCTATCTCAAGCCGTGCGCAAGAGCGAACTGCATTTGTCAAAGGTGATGCCGGCAACGAAACAAAGAACAAAAAGTTTCGGAAGGGCAAGACTGAGCATCGAGAAGAGTAGGTAATCCAATAGCAATAGTCTTGCAGTCTGCTCTGGAGATAGGACTCTAGGCACGTAGAGTAGCCAATTGTGTAATAAAAGGGCATACGAAGCTGGATTGACAATCAAGTCTGTGTCTTTGCTTCCACATTCTCTCGTTGAAACAGCGGCTGAGCCAGAGTGTCGAACGGCTGAAATGATGGGTAAAAGAAGTGCTGGCATTTCCACGATGGATGTGATAATGATACTGTTATCGACAGATGGACGCATCGGCGATGCTGATATACTGCATCCGTATTGAAGCTTTTCACACAATCCTGCTCAGGATGGTTCCGCACTGGAAGCTGCCATCGATTCGTATGATTCCCTGAGTCGAGAATCTATAGATTGCTTCGATGCAGTCTTTGAAATTGCCGCAGCAGATGTTATCCCAGCCATGAGACCTGGAACTGCCTGTCTATCGGCACGTCCTGAGTCAGCATTTTTGGGCTGATGTTTCTGTGGTTGAATCGTTAGTCAGAAACACTTTGTTCGTTGAATCTAACCATTCTCACGTAGGCTCTGAGGAACAGGATAGCCATTTCAGGTGGATTTGACTTACAGAGATGTGATTGCCAGCGTTATTCTTCCTTGACAAGGATAGCTTTTCGGAGTAGTATATGGAGAAAGAAGACAAAGCACAAGAACATAGTGGAGATTGGAAATGGAAGAAGAGAATGTTTGGTGTGTCATTAGAAGTAGGTGTAGGAGTGGGAGTGAGTGAGAGTGGGGGTAGACAGGAAGAAGAGGAAGACGAAGACGAAGAAGGAAAAGAGCAGAGTCCATCCCCATCGACCAGGCCCATTGGGGTCAGTGAATTCAAAAATCTAAGCCAAGATTGAATGATGCCTGCTGAGAGACATGGTTATTGAATGATTGCTGCTGGATTTTATAGATAGCAGCCTAGGAATACCTCACGCCATTGAATGTGCTACGTATGGCGGATTGATTCAATGGCTCTTTGTCTGGAATTAACTCCAGAAGCTATCATTCCAGGTGAATTGGACATTGTAGATTGAGTAGCTAGTGAGCTCATAAGGGTGTGTGCACGGTGGTGCTGCATCATTGCGTATTCTAGCCCTTAGTCTCTATGTAGTGGGAACTTGCCCTTGCTGCATAGTGAAGTCCATTTCCCCATGAAGGGCATATTCTCAGCCCTCGGACAAGGTAGGGTCGGTAGTAGCCATCTTAGATGGCATAGTCGCCATTATGAGGATCTTATGCAATGCGTATAGTCGTTGCCGGGCGGGGGCGTGCAGCAGCTACTATAGGTTCATCCTGGAGCTTAGAAGTAGCAATTTCCTCTAACAAGCAAACGGGGGGTATCTCACCACTTGATCGAAGTCCCATATCTATAGTACGACTTTCCAACAAAGAGACTATGCCTTGGCTATGCTGTAGCTGATTATCGAAATGTAGAGATTCGAGAGTGGATCTGTCTCGATGGCATGCATAAACCCAGCGGGGGACTGCACATACCCAAGAATCTTGTTCATAGCAATAAAGAGATAATCCGCTGGCATGCGGCGAATATTTCCAGGATTTGAAAGCGATATTGCACGTTTAGCAGCAGGAGTCTTATCGGAACTGAGCGCTGGCAGTCTCCCTTAACAGGGACCGTTGTCAAGGAATCGGTAGCATAGATTCGAAGTCGAAGCTCGGATTTCTGTTTGATGGGCAGGAAGTGATGTATGGCAAATCGGAGGCGAGCAGCCTTAGGGAAAGGAAGGTTTCTGACGATGAGGACTTTTAAATGCATTTCAAAGGTTATAAATAGATGGTAGTTAGCATGAGCGTGCAGAAGTATGTCTGCATTTAGTGTGGAGCAGAGGCATATAATCTTGGTATATATTGCTATACTGGTGTGTTAGTTAAATTCAAAATGCAGTTTAAGACCGACCGCAGCGTTGATAATTTAAATTGTCTCAATCCATATTGAATTCGAAAGGTAAAGTGACATTCTAAGCCTAGGACAACGGGAATTGCATTCAAAGCGAAGGAGAGGTTCTGCTTCATGCGCAGCTTACTCCTCGGGAGTGGGCGCCGAAGGCGGTCAGCGCGGCTCCGCGGCGCTGAAGCCCTTCAGTCGATGTTGGGATAGCCTCATATCACGTGATATCAGAATCAGCAGCCCGTCGACATTTCGACCACGTAGAGCCTCCACTGAGCTTATCTGGAGTTACAACAATAGCCGAAAGATAGCTTTTAAGTCATTAAACCAGGTTTTGAATTCGTATGACCGTGACTTCTATGAACATTAAAGCATAAGCAAAAAAAGCTATGTAACCTCATTACCGACCCCTTTTTGATCTCCTAAACACGTTTAAAAGTCCTCATCGTCAGAAACCTCCTCACCACGCTTCTTTCTGGCAATACGCTCCTTGCGCTTCTTGCGGAGCTCGCTAGAAGTAAGCTTCTTCTTCTTCTCAACGACAGTCTGAAGTCAAGTTAGCATCAGGGGTCATCCAGGTATCGGACAAGTCCGAGGGGGGAGGGGGGAAAGGGGGAAAAGCATACCTTGTTGCCCATGGCATCGACGATCTCAGTGTCGCCGGCGTTCTTGTCCTCCAGACGGGGACCGGAACCCTGACCCTGAACCCAGTTGTGGCCGGAGGGGGTCATCTTACCGTCGACGACGGCCCAGACTTCCTCGGTCAGGTTCTCAGTGAACTCACGAGAGTGAGTGATGATGATAACACCACCCTCGAAGGTCTTGATGGCCTTGGACAGGGCACCGAGGGAGTCACGGTCCAGGTAGTTGGTGGGCTCGTCCAGGACGATGACGTGGGGACGCTGCCACGAGCAGGCGGCAAGGACGACCTTGACACGCTGACCACCGGACAGACCGCGCATGCGGGAGTGGGACACCAACTCGGCATCGAGACCGAAGTTCTCGCAGTGCTGCTCGATCTCCTTGCGGACCAAGGGACGGAACTGACCGCTGGCGAGGGCCTCCTTCTGATCGACCTCGGCGACCATCTTGGCGTGGGACTGCATGATCTCGGAACGGGGAATCCAGGCGTTGTCGGTGGACATCATGGGGGTCCAGCGCTCGGACTTCATGCCGATGTTGTCACCCAGGGCGAACGAACACTCGTACTCGTAGCTGTTCTTGAACTTTCTACGGGCGTGGATGCCGATGACGCGACGGAGGGTACCCTCGATCTTGTAGATCTTGTCCATGGCCTTCTCATCCTCCTCGGTGACGATCTTGTTGGCGCGGTCCATGGTCTCACGGTCCTCACCGGTCTGGAAACGCCACTGGATGTACTCGGAGGGAGTCTTGTCGAGGTGGTTATCGATGTGGGCGAAAGCGTGCTGCTTGATGTAGGCGATACGGATGTTCTCGTGCTGGTAGACGTCACCGGAGGTGGGGATCAACTCACCGGTCAGGACGTTGACCAGGGTGGATTTACCGGCACCGTTGGGACCGATGACGGCAATACGGGAGCCCAGGGAGACCTGGAAGGTGATGTCGGTGATCTGGGGCTTGGGGGTGTTGGGGTACTGGAAGGTCATGTTGTTGACACGGATGATGGCCTTGGCCTTGGTCTTGACACCCTCGAGGAAACCGGGCTCGGGGAACTTGAACTCGATCTCGGAGGCACCGAGCTCGTAGTAGGAGCGAGCGGCGGGGACACGCTTGACGAACTCGCTCAAGTTACCACGGTAACGCTTGAGCTTGAAGCGCTCGTAGTGGACGACGTGCTGGATGACGTTGTCCAAGAACTTGCTGTCGTGGGAGACGATGATGGACGTGCAGGGGGAAGTGCAGAGGTAGTTCTCCAACCAGGCGACGTTCTTGACGTCCAAGTGATTGGTAGGCTCGTCCAGCAGAAGGATGTCGGGGTCCTCGAAGACGGCACGGGCAAGAGCCAGCTTCATCTTCCAACCACCGGAGAGGGAGGTGATAGGGCCCTCAAGCTGCTCCTTGAGGAAACCGAACTCGAGAAGCTTGGCCTCGACTTCGGACTGAGGGATCTCAAGACCGACCTCGCGGAGCTTCTTCATGGTCCAGCCAATGACGGTCTGCTCAGTATCGGCAGCGTCCAAGTCGTGCTCGACGTAGACGGTCTTGACCTCGCTCTTCTTGGGGAAACCCTCGAGCTGCTCGTTGTTGATGGCGCGCATGAGAGTGGTCTTACCGGTACCGTTGGGACCAAGGAGACCGTAACGCTGACCACGCTTGAGGCGGAGGTTGGTCTGGTTGAGCAGAATCTTGGCACCGTAGGCCAGGGAGAAAGTGCAGTTGCACAGATCCTCACCCTCCTCCTCGTCGGAGAGGACGGCATCAGCCTCAGCAGCGAGGGGAGAAGCCTTCTTGCGGAGGGTCTCGACGACGCTCTTGGCATCCTCCTCACCGACGATGGCGGCAATGTAGGGCTGAGCGTTCTGGGTCCAGCTGGTGACCTCGGCGTCCTTCTCGTCAACGAGCTGACCGGCAACGGCACCGACGTAGTTGATAACAGCCTCAGCACCCTCGGCCTGAGCGGTGTGCTTCTCCTTGAGGATGTCCTTGAGGATAGCAGAAACGGTGGAGATGTCACCGGCGGTGGAGATCTCGGGGATCTTGCCGTCCTTGACATCACCGACACGGGTAAGAGTCTCCAAGGCCTGCTTGGTCTTGCCACGGGCCTCAGGGTCGGCCAGGGTCTCGAAGTTCTTCTCGAGACGGGGCATCAACTTGGGCAAGAAAGGAGCGACGATCTGGGGATCCTCGACCAGCTTACACATGTTGTCGACGATGACAGCGGACTTACGCTTGATAGCGGTCTCACGCTCAACGAGACCACGGTCAAGCAGGGGGACCATGATAGCGAGGGTAGGGCCGGTGACGTCGGAAACGAAGGTGGTAGCACCGAGCAAGTGAACGGTCTCGGAGACGTTCTCAGGCTTGGCGATACA